ACTGACTGACTTACTGACTGACTGACTGACTGACTGACTGACTGACTGACTGACTGACTGACTGACTGACTGACTGACTGACTGACTGACTGACTGACTGACTGACTGACTGACTGATCATCTGCGACCAGATCAGAAATCAGAAATGCACTGGAATCAATCTCCTTGCAATGCCTACCGGTACCTATGCCAATAATGTTTCGCAATGTCGGTTTCATTCAACACATAAGACATCAATCCCGATCGCGATATCCATGTCGCAGTCCAGCCCCTCAACTCGTACACCTAATTAAGGATTTGCAACAACGAGCAAATCAAACGAAAACGGATGACTTCGGATCGATTTACCATCCACCAACCTATGAGCACGAGAATAAGGATTTGCTCAAGTCGATCCGATCCTGTTTGACTGGAATGAATCACGATGACCATGCAGCCTATACGAAAGACACTGGAATGAGCCTTTGTTTCTTGGGAACGGGTGCTGGTACACCAACAAGACAACGGTCCACGACTGCAACGCTCTTGCGACTTGGTGGTTCGAGCATGCTATTCGATGCTGGGGAAGGAGTCCAACGACAATTACTATTTGCGAGAGCCAAACCAAGTCATATTGAGCGAATTTTCATAACACATCTTCATGGAGATCATGTATTTGGCTTGCCAGGTTTTCTTCTAGGGCTCCAAGTGCATATCATGGCGAGGCAAAAAGATGCGAACACTGTCAAGAGCAAACGGAAACAAAAGGAAATGGAAAATCACGTCATTAAAATTTATGGTCCCCGTACGTTTGTTGGTGCCAAATATGATTGTCCTTGGTGCTGATATGTTTCACTCACTGTTCCTCTACTCTAACCTCTCGATTCCAGCTGGACTGTACAACTACATTGCGTCCAACATCATACTGTCGTGTACAAAGTTCCATTCTCTTTCTATTGAAGTCTACGAATTGATCGGAAGTCGTGCTCGACGCGTCCATGGAAACAAAAATAGAGGGGTAAAGAATCCATTTGAGGACACCTACCCAGAATACAACTACGGCCTCATAAGGCGCAAGTTCATTTCTCCTGAGGATGGGGTTTGGACGATTGAAAACATTGAGCAAAAGACACGGAACGGTATCCTCAATGACAAAACGCGGCATCTCCCACGCCAATTGAGAATCAAGGCTGCGGAACTCGATCATTTGCCTGGGGTGGTAACCTTTGGTTTCGTTGTCGAGGAAGAAGAACCTCCTAGAAACGTGGATCCTGACAAGGCAAAGGCTCTTGGGGTTTTACCCAACGGCAGAAAATTTGACCTTTTGAAGCATGGGTTCTCTGTACAAACTGAGGATGGAAAAAGAACTGTACAGGCGGAAGAGGTGCTGAAACCAAGAAACAAACGGGCAAGGAAAATAACAATCACCGGGGATAATCGAGGATGGACAACGCAGATGTTGCGGCTGGCAGAAAACTCTGATGTCCTGGTCCATGAATCAACGCTGGTAAAGGAAGACTATAAGGTACGTACGTTTGTTATGCAGGCCGAGACCTTTTGTTCTGCCTAATTCGATATCTTCTTCGTCTTTCTTTCAGCGTGGTCACTCGACTGCCAATATGGCGGGAAAGGTTTCGGGTGACGCTCACGCTGCCTTGCTAGTACTCAATCACATTAGTTCCAAGTCAGATAGAAGCGATATATTGGGTAACAGTAACCAGCTGAAGCTGATAAAGGACGCAAAGGAAAGCTCAAATGGAAAATCGGAAGTTATAGTGGCATTTGATTTCATGGAATTGTTGGTACCCCGGGACGGTTTCCGAGGTGGTAGCCTCGACGATGAATCGCGCCTACACAGTAAAAAAGAGGTTGAAGGTGATCTTAACGAAACAAGGACGGCGGTGATGGGTTGGTTTGAAACAAAATAATAATCATAGGTACTGTACCTACTCTACTCGTAGTGAAAAAAATTTACCACTATAGTGACGTCATCCATCCACGCGCAAATTGCAGTTTTGCACATTCTCGAAACACAGAATCCAGATGTTGTCTTTTCAGCGTTTGGTGCTCGCAGCGACGCTGTTGAACCAGTTGACGAATTCCAGCGCTTTCATCTTGCTACAGAAAAAGTTAACGATTTGTTCTAAACTGTATTCAAATTTGGAATCGCAAGATGCTGTTGTTGAAGAGGGCAGTCATGAAGAGTTGATGTATTCCCTAGGTGTCAATCTTGCACGCCAGCTCGGAGATATTAGGCCTCTGGTTGAAAACTCAGAGGAATTGACACATGTTGCCAAGGGACTTCTTGACACAGTCATCGGACGACTTGATGACGAAGGTCAAAGAACCATTCTGAGCAAGGTAAGTCCAATTGCTCCATGAGGCACTTGCTATAACAAGCATTTGCCAACCGTGGTTATCTTTTAAGCGCGGAAAAGAATTGGACCAGTTAATTGTTGAAGTAAGTTGGGGCATCGTCTTTCTCCATATTCTCAATATTGTGCCGTTGCTGACAACGGGTTGAAAGCGTGCAACCAACTTGAGGGAGAAACTAGAAAAGGCTGGTCGTGACATGTTGGAAAATATGAAGGAAACAGAGGAGGTAAAGGAGCTGGAAGGAGGAGTGCTTTTGCACGTATTGGAACACGGTCCCGACGGTGAAGGCAAGGGTGTGCGGCCAACGGTTGGAAGCACTGTCTCGATTCACTATCATGGTTAGTAGGCTGTCTTCGTGCTCTGATTTCCACACGAAGCTTTGACCTCACTCAAGTTGCCTTGCGCCGCAACAATCAGGAACTCTTCCTGATGGAACAGTTTTTGACTCTACCCTTGGAAAAGAGCCCATCAAGCTACCTTTAGCGAATGTCATCCCAGGTTGGCGAATTGGTGAGTTTTCTTTGTTTACGTTCCTCAGAAAACTTGGGACTCAAACCAAGCTGTCTTTTTTGCCTTAAAATATTTTAGGAGTATTGCAAATGCACGAAGGCGAGACGGCCATGCTAGGCATTCCACCAGATCAAGCATATGGAGCCGGCGGAACACCCGATGGTCGTATCCCCGGTGGTTCAACTCTCGTAAGTGTATATCAGGATATCGCCGTTAAACTTCCAACTCAGTGGTTGCTGACACTGTTATCAGTTTTTCAAGATCCAGTTGATCGAAGTGTTAACGGGGGGAATTGGAGGGGAGGTCAAGCTGCTTGGTGTAGATGGAAAGGAGCTTGGGAAAGACAGCGATTCCAGCGGACTACTTGGTATCGATGGAAGTCCTCTTTAGCTTCTAGAATATGTAAATAGGCCAACAATTGCTACTATTTATTTTTTATTATTCAGGTGTCTTCCAGCTTTGTTTCAATAAATATATACGATGCAATACGTAGGTTAATCGTCACTTTTAAACCGCCAAGAGGTAAATAGATGAACGTAGAGTAACTGTAGAAGGTTCGGCTGGTAGTGGTACCGGTACGAAACTTCCGGGTTGGTAGCTACGGTGCTGTAGCTTCAATACATATCGGACCGATTGATTCGACCGCTATTTCAACGACCGATTGACTATATCGAATACTCATCAGACCGTTGAATTTGATTGAGATTGATTATATTGCAATGCGACCAATTGCACCCACCACGACTCGCTTTGCAAACAAAGATGACAACAATCAGGTTTGTATTTGCACTGTACCCCCCACCAAGTAATTGTTGCTCTTACTGCAGTGCTCTAACTTATCGTCTGATTCATCTTCCAGATATTTCATTCCAGAAGATGGTGACGAGGAGACGCACCCTAATGTCTTCCTCGCTCCAAAGCCAAGGCATCCTGGGACTCCTCCTACCTTGGGACAAATAAAGGATGCATTTCCACTTCCAGGGACCTATCATTTTCGCTTCAAGAGTCCCCTCTACCCTGGTGGAGATCGAGATAAAGGAGCCATGTCAGTTTGGATGGATTTGGTCAATGATGCGGATCCAATTCCTACATGGAAAAATGGAATTGTAGCAAAAATAACAAGAATCAGCATGGAAGACGACGATGATGATGATGATGACTTTCCTATTCCGACTCCAGCTGCTACACCTGCTGCAAACCCTCGAGCACCACCATCTCACCAAAGTTCAATGGCGTCGCAAGGATCCTCGGATCACCTTGACATTTTTGATGGGCCTTCCCCTGGAGTCACCGCAACCCCCGCTTCAAATGCTGCACCGAATTTGTTTGATACTCCCGCTGCAGCCCCAGCTTCGGGAGGCTCATTGCTTGACATGAATGAAAACTATGCTAGCACTCAAGCTAAATCGTCGGCCCATGCAGACTTCTTGGGAATGACTGCACCAACAGCACAGCCTGGATATCCTGCAGCTGGAAACCCCAACATGTACCCAGCTCAGCAGCAGCAACGCCCACCCCAGCAACAGCAGCAAAATACGTTCAATAGTTACGCTGCTCAGCAGGGACCGTTTGGTGGACTTGGAACGCCTTGGAAGCCTTAAAAGTCAATAGGTTATTGATTATGATATATGATATGGTATGTACATCCGGTGGAGTTCGTAGATCATTGCGGTACCAGTACTGTGCCCTTCCTCTGTCCTTTCGTCCGTGCACACTATCGAGGATAGCCTAGTGGCGCCTTCTGAGTGGTTTTCTCAGGAGGATTCTTCCTGGAGTTACTCTGGCGGGTTGCGGTGTGAAGCTGATTCTTTGGGTCGCGAGGTATCAGCGACTTTTTGCTTTCCTAAAAGAAGTATAAGTTTATCTTTCTAGATAGTCGCACTCAAGTTGTACTTGGTGGCTGGTACCAGGTATCCTTGTACCGCCGGTACAGGATAGGCAAATAAAACAAAATTGCTTTCGAAGACCGTCCAACCGGCGTCAGCAAAAGAAACACTCATCCTCATTCTTGATCCCTGGATGAAAGAAACAATCAATCAATCGCCCTCATAGATGAAAATCGTCATCACCGATTTTGATAGACGACTCTTCTCTTTGGCATGAGGTGCACTTACTACGAAAGCGTCCGGAGATTAAGCTTGGAATAGTCAAACACAAGAGCTGGAGACCAGCAATCTGTGAGAAGGAAAGAAAGGTCATGGAAACGGATGTTGGCAGACGTGACATCATAAAATCACGGGTTGACATTGACGAACCCTGGTATCAGAAGTACGCAACAACAGTGGTGATCTTGGCTCTATTAAACATCATATTTATGTATCATGTGGCAAGAAGAAGGACAAGATCGTCGATGGCTGTGTCATATGATATCCTGATAAAGAAAAGGCAGTATCACAGAGCATTACTGGCTCTCTTCTCACATCCCCCTACAAAGCAATCACAACCCCGAGATTCCCAAAGCAGCATCGAAATGGCATATTTGTCCTTCTTCATTGAAACAATGCAAGAATGGCAGCGGTCGTCCTTTTTCTGTAATGGAAAGCGGCTGAGTGGTATGCCGTTGTTGCTCTACAACTCCTTCATCTTATGGAATTGTCGCGAGCTCGAACCGATCATCGGAAGCACGAAGTATGTCCGATTTCTTTGGGACATTGCGCTTGTGTCCATATTGTTGGAGATCTTGTTTACCTACTGCATTCAATCCTTTCTCCGGGATATGAACTACGGTTCTTCGCCACCTTTGTTTGTGAGGTCCAGTAGGGGTCAGCCATCCTCTGGTATGCAGCAAGTGAAACACATGCTTGTCCACCGAAGTATGGGAAGGTAAGTAGACACAGGAACCGACCAATGCCGGAGAATCATACTAACATGATTCCAAAGCTTTACAACAGTGTCAACAGGGGTCCTTACAGTGGTGTTTCAACATCAAAACATACCAATTTCTGTACTGCCATTTGTCAATGCACGTCACCTCTTCTTTGTAACCCCCGCAGTAGCTTACGCGTTCTGTCTTGGGATTCTCTCTTTCCTATCCCGCTCTGCGCATCCTTACTCGGCCGTGATATCTGGCACATGTGCTGGCTTGACTTGGTCTTCAAATCTTTCTTCATTCATGATTGAACATTACTGGGCAAATGGAAGCTTCTTTATTTACATGATACTGTGCATGCTTTCGCTAAAAGCTGCGGAAAGTCCATTTATTCCTTGCATTAATAATAAGCCTTGGGATGGCGCCGGTCGGCTTCCTGAAACAGAGAAAGACAACTTTCGTTGTTCTTCTTCGTCCCGACACGATTATTCACTGGGCAACAACAATTTCGATTCTCCGGGCGAGCATGACGAAGATTTGGAAGGGAACTTGCGGCTATACTCGACTATAAATGATGAACATGGGCATCTTGTACCGAATATGGAAGAGCTGAATGGCGTCCTCCATTCGGATGGGCAAGAAGTATCATACAATGAGCTCTTGTTGATGATGACACAAACAGTAAGAGTGAACTCCGCAAATAGCACTGATGCTGGGGTCAGATCCCGTCGAGTCTTACGTCCATAGAGTAAAAGTATAAATGGCTAGTCAGTATTCTCGCTATTAAGTCCATTGCGTTTTATGGGGCAAATTGCCTTGCATTCTTGAGGAACAAAAGTAGCTTTGTGAACAAAAATGCATGAGGAGTCGTGTGGTTCAAATGAAGCAGCAACATACCGGTACAGCACTCCAAACCTGAAAAAAGAAATCAAGACACATCATAAACCTAGGGAAAATGATGGTAGGAATATGAAACAAGAGAAAACTAAGGAAAGGAGGCAACAGCTTACGAGGCGGCGATATCGTAAGCTACCTCTCTGGCAGACCATGCTCTTGTTTGGGTTGACAGTCGACAATATACGACACCGATTTGTTGATGCAACGAACACGCCCATCAAGGAGACGCAATATGCGATTCAAAAATCTTCCTCCCATGCAATTAGGACCCCTCCAACATTTCATGTAGAAACGGAAAATGAAGGAAATGACGAGGGCGATATCATAGTCGTGGTTGCAGTTGACGGGACACTTGCTGGAATATCAAAAAGGAATGGGAAAGTTCTCTGGAAACATTCAAGAGATCTTGAAGGTGTTGAAAGGGGCTATCAAAAACATACCATCAAGCCAAGACGCAACGCAGAGACAGTTCCTGAAGCTCTGGTGCGACCACTCATTTCAACCACGACGACAACGAAAGCGGCATCTTCATCTTCTACGAATTTTGCAGCAGTTCCATCACTAGATGGCTATGTCTTCATGTCATCCTGTGGTGAAACTGTTAAGAACTCGGTGAAAGAATTAGTTTCTAGGTCGCCCTTTCTCAACGATGATGGTCAATTCATTGTCGGATCTAGGCATTCTACTGCCGCAGCACTCGATGCTACCACAGGAGAGGTGTTGAGACTGATTCCACCTTCTGAGATGGATAGAGACCTGTATCCCAGCACGTCATTCAAAGGTCGCAATCCTGTTTGGATCGGTCGAGTTGATTACTCTGTGGATGTTCAGGATGCAAAGACTGGAACAACAGAGGTGCAATTTTCGTCTGCAGAGGTCATTAGTGTAATGGAGATGCAAGGAAAGATAGGGACGGATGCCTGGAAACCAATGAAAGCATTTGATGGCAAAGGACAGAATATGGATGAAGCACTTGCGATAGATGGCTTCGAACGCATGTTGATTCAAAGTACTCAATTTATTGTTCCGTCATCGTCCATGACGAGTGAGTTGTCCCCCTTGGTAGCTACTCCAGGAGGAAACATTGCATATCGGAACACTACGAGTGGTATTCTCGAATGGGTTTCTGACGAAACTTTCAGTTCACCTGTCGCTTTTGCAATTGAGGCTTCAAGTGGTGTGCGACTTGAAGTTGACATTATTCCTGATGTTCCTGTGCCTGGATCCTCTTTGGAATATCTGTCGCGAGAAATAGAGAAACAACTAGAAAGGCTCTACGAGCAAGCCATGGATGACCAAACTATTGTTGGAGCATTGTCGAATGGGCAGCTATATGCACTGCATCTTGGAAGCAGGCATAAATTTCCTGGGATCCCTCGTCAACGCCATACGATTGCGGCTACTTCTGTTTCCAGGAACGCAAAACCACTATCTAACTTTCCTCATATTGTTGGTCGACCGGCAATTCACCATGATGCCGTGCGTGTCCACAGCCGAGCGCAGGATCAGAAACAACTCATAACCACAAGCAAGGTATGCAATCCGAGTAGCCAAGGCTTTCCTGCATGTCTCCTGTATACTCGTGCCAAAAATTATCTTCCCAAAGAGCAAACAGATCATCTAGGAAGAGAAGGTGGTGACACAGTAGCTGAAGAGAGTTTAAGTGATGTAGAAAATGTCGCTATGGCTGCAAATAAACTGCCTGACGGTATTTTCTTTCACCCTGAATATGGATACATTTCGCCGGAACATCGTCGCCCCAAGTATCGTCGGTATCTAACCATGGGCTTATGGCTACCCCCAGCGCTTGCATTCATTTTCGTCATCTCCTTTGAATTGGGTCGGCGAAAACGACAGAAGGACAATCAAAGATTGTCAAGAAGTGCAGTGAGAATGGTTGATGGCGTTGGTGAAGTAGTTTGGTCTGATGCCAAACCAACACAGGTGTCACAGCAATGTGTCATCCAAGTCAGTGATGACATACTTGGGTATGGAGGCCAAGGTACTGTTGTATACAAAGGAAAGCTTGATGGAAGAGACGTTGCTGTGAAGCGTTTGCTGAAAGCATATCAGGCAGGAGCAGATCGCGAAATATCACTCCTGATTGAATCAGATGGCCATCCCAATGTTGTTCGATACTTTCTAAAGGAGATTCGTGGTGATTTTGTTTACTTGGCTCTTGAGCTCTGTGATCTCTCTTTGCACGACTTGATAGTTGTCCTCTGTCAGCACCACGAACAACAGACATCTGTGAGTAGAAACTCAATTTGTTCCCCAACAAAATTCGTTTTACAGCAGATTGCTTCAGGTGTGAAGCATTTGCACTCGCTGCGCATCGTTCATAGAGATTTGAAGCCTCAGAATATCCTCTTAGCAACATCAAAGAAGAAGGAAACATCGTTGCCAGAAACACCTGTCCTTGAAGCTTTTCAAAAAGGTTTCTACATAGCAAAAATCTCGGACATGGGCCTTGGAAAGCAGTTATCAGGGCAAAGCAGTCTTGGTGTTAGTATGCTGGGAGAATCTAATAGAGGAAGTAAACCTGGGGCAAGCTCTGTGGGTGTGGGACCTGGAAGTGTTGGTTGGCAAGCTCCCGAAGTCATGGCTCTGAAATGGACTTCGGACTCTTCCGTTCGTACCGATCAGAACACTAGTTTGCCGTCTTTGACTACAGGCCAAGCATGCAACAAAGCTACACCCACTGTCAGAACCAGCCGATCGGTGGATATCTTCTCATTGGGGTGCATCTTCTATTCTACAATTGTTCCAGGCCATCATCCGTTTGGAGAGTGGTATGAAAGGGAAAGCAACATTATGCACAACCGACCCGCACTTGGTCCGCTCAAGAAACTATCTCCAGATGCACATGACCTTGTCATCGCGATGTTGCAGCAGAATCCAAAACTCCGCCCTACGGCAAAGCAAATATGTGAGCACCCATTCTTTTGGGGCCCACAAAAGCGACTGTCTTTTTTGTGTGACGTTTCCGATCGACTTGAAACTGATGACGCGTTGGAGACATCCTTGGACACCAATAGCACTCTTGCGATTGAGCGTGGAGCTGTTGAGGTTGTTGGGACTGCGTGGGATGGGCGCTTGGATGACGCGCTGATTAGTAATGTGCAGAAATTCCGATCCTATGACGCCTCTTCTTTACGTGATCTTCTGCGTCTGATTCGGAATAAGCACCATCACTTCGACGAGCTCCCAGACGATTTCCGGACGTCCACTATGTCAAACCAAGATGAGATGCTACAGTATTTTGAGCAAAGATTTCCTTCGTTATTGATGCATTGTTTCCATCACTGCGAGCGCCATTTTGGGGAGGACGATTTGCTGACAATCAAATATTCTATTGTGCCTGTACGGACAAAGGAACGAGCACCGCAACAACAAGATTCAATGCGAAACATGTCTGATTTAAATGGGAACGGGCCAAGTTATGCTGTTCAAAGTCAAATCGAATCAGTAGGTCTTTCCACAAAACCCGATTGGCCCTTCCAGCTGCCTACAGCAAATCCATCGGAGGAGCCGGTACTCCGGGCTGAGCTTGAGGATGGTGACAAAGATGAAATTGAAATCTGGGACACAGAGATAGAAATGAAGTGTCTGGTATCTGCAGGACACAACCTAACAACAGGACCTGACTCCAATGATATTATTGCATGGGAGGGAAGTACGGCTGCGAGAACTTTCAACTGCCGCGGTTGGAGTCGTTCAGAGGACGAGTGGTCGAACAGAGTTGACCCATGTTTCCGGAAACGATGTCCTAACTTGAAGCGTGCCACGGAAGATCCAAAATTCCGAACCCGGCTCTGCAACCACTGGGACACAAATTTGGGAACCTTTTGCCCAATGCGAAAGAAAAGTAAATGTATCTTCGCACACGGACCCGTTGAATTGCGTGTCAAAGAAGGAAAAAGGGGACGATGGGGAAAGCTTGTAGACAAGCATGGGAATAATTCAAATCCATGTCACTCGGGAGGAGAGGACACCTTTGGTGCAGCCAGATCTATCGAAAGTGTTCGAAAAGTCGAGGGAAAATGGAACACCAACCGTCCCAATGGTAAGAAGACGAGTAATGGAATGAGGAAGAAAAATAGTAGAACATGATCAGAGCTTCTCTGATACTCAACGCTTGTAGTAAGCTTCAAACTACTCTCTTAGAAAGGCTTTTGGGTATTATTATTATTACATGGAGCAAGGCTACTTGTTATATCTTTTGGAATGAAATTGTCATTTCCAAGGGACTACAAAGATTACTGTTGAAGGACAACAAATGTGCTTTTCTACTGCATTGTTTGATATGGAGCTGTTGCAGCAGAGCTCTGATTGTGTGATTCTATTTTTCCCAATTTTGCTTCATTTCTTCGTGTGCCATGAACTCCTCCCATTGCCTGACCAGCTGTCTCTGGTAGGTGCCATGCTGTAGCTGCTGTCAGAACGCTGATTGAAAAGATGAAAAGGCCAATCACGTTAAGAGACGCCTTGTCGTTGATTATGTAAGGGGTGACACTTCCTGCTAGTCGAGCCATACCATTGGCTGTTCCATGTCCACTGGCCCTGATATCAGTGCTCAAAATCTCACTTGTTGAGACCCAAGTCGTGCAACTAGCACTGCAGTAAATGAATGAATGAGTGAGTGAGAAAGTAAACTTCGTAGAATTTGCTTTCGTTTTGACTTACCCCATCATGGCCATCCTTGATGTAAATGCAAATACCAAGAGCACTGAACGGGGACCATTTATTGAGGCCACGAGTAGCAGCAAGAGACAAGAGCTTCCTCCCAATAGGTATGAAAATGTCTGTGTCTTTATTCTACCAGCTTGATCAATGGTGAACATTGCCATTAGAAGTCCAACAATTTCTGCTGATGCACTTATGAAGATAGCACCAAAATCAAAATAGTAGGAGGCCTCCTGGCTGTTGTCATCCTGGATTTCGACTTGGGAGGAGAACACAATTGTGACCGCAATGATAACACCATAATACAGAATCGCCAAAAAACCCCATACAGTCCAGAGCAAAAGTGTAATTTTCAACCATTTCGCCGAAAAAAGATCGCATACACTTTCTCTCGCTTGATTCAATTCCAAAATTTTTGTTCCGTTTGGATAGACTTCGAAAGGATCAAGGCCATTACGAGCGGCTGCACCTCTAAGAATTCTGAGCGCTTCTGCGTGGCTTCCTTTCGCAACTAGCCACCTTGGCGATTGATTGATTCGTTTATTAGGTCGGGACTAAAAAAATTGAGTTTGCACATATTGTCAGAAAGTGCTACTAACCTCGGACTCTCTGGCACTAGCAGCACGGCAGTGACTGCCGAGGCTACGCACGGGAGCGAACAGATGAGAACAAAGAGCTGCCAAGACTCAAAGTATGCAGAGTCTCCAAGAGTCAACCAAGCAACAACTGGTACCGATATCGTCCCGGCTGTCCAAAAATATTCAATCTCAAGCAGGTTGGCACCCCTCTGTGAATTTGGAACAAATTCTGCCAACGTATCAAACTATTGAAAAAGCACCAAGCCTGCAACGTTAGATTGAAGATGGCACTTGATTCAAAGAAAGCGCGGACGAGACTTACAGGAACAGTCAAGCCTCCGACCCCAAAGCCCACCATAAATCGTGCGAAAAGAAGCCATTCATACGTCGCACAAAAGGCAGTGAGGATTCCAAAGACACTGATTGTTGCTGCGGTAACTCCGAAGATTATTTTTCGTCCAATGATATCCGCCAAAGGTGAAAGAATCAATGTGCCGATTGCAGCGCCAGCAAATACTATAGAAATAACTGTATTCTCTTGATAATCTGTGAGTCCCCACTCTGCTTTCAAAACTATAGAAAGAAACGACAGAAGCAAAACCTCCATGGCATCTGCGGCGAAACAAAGACCAGCTGCCAATAAAATGTCTTTTTGAAATCTCCCATAGCCAAGTCGCTCGATTGCTTCATCAATATCCATTGACATTGCTTGTATTTCATCGTTCGTAGCAAATTCATTGACTACATAGGTATTAATAGAATCCGTATTCATTGTTTCTGTTTCATCCAGTCCAGAACATTGTTGTACAGTTTCAGCATTTTGTTTCGTATTTTTTTTTAAATTGAAAATTGCACATGACTCAGTTGACCAAAAACAAAAAAGTATTCTGTTACGACATGAGTCGTCACAGTTACCTCTACTGATTGCCTGAAATTTCTTAGAAAGGTACCGGTACCGTACAGTACCGGTACGAGTACATCAATTTTTTTAGAAAGGTACGAGTACATCATGATACGAAGTGGTTAATTCGAAGCTTTTCTTCCTGAGCCGTGCGTCTCGTTGAACTTGTAGTATTTGCACATAGGATTTTTCAGAAGGTGTCCACAAGCACTTCATGAAGACATCAACAGGGTAATTAGGTTGCCAACTTTGTCTCATCATCCATACGACACCTTATCATCAAATGATGCTGTCCTAGATACAATGTTCAAGTAGTATTTTCCACGTTTACTTGCTTATCGCCCTGGCTGTCCTTGGCTTGGGTTCACTTGGATACGGTCGTCAATTCGAAGAATGGTAATCGCAGCTTCGGTTGCAAACCGCAGAGATTTGATCTTCGACATGGCCGGTTCAACGACTCCAGCCGCCAAATTGTCTCGAATTTTGCCTTCAACTAGATCGAGCCCATAAGTTTTCAATGCAGCATGTTCTTTATTGCGCTGACTCTTTGCATGTATAGATCGCAATTTGGACACCAACTCTGCACTATCCTTTGCGGCATTCACTGCTAATGTCTTCGGGATGACCAACAAAGCATCGGCGAATGCTTCTATTGCCAACTGCTCTCGTGTATCTAGGGTTGTCGCGTATTCTTGCAAGTACACATTGAGGGCAACCTCAACTGCTCCGCCCCCAGGAACCAAGGTGTTCGATTCCAACATTCGTTTCACAACACATAAAGAATCATGAAGGGCACGATCCATTTCATCCAACATGTATTCATTGGCACCACGCAGGACAATCGTCGAGGCGCCGGATCCCTTGCAGCCTAGAACGTGCAACATCTCTCCATCTCCAACTCGAACTTCTTGGACTGCTTTGCATGTGCCTAGTGATTCTGGATCAAAGGATTCATTTCCTTCCATATCAGCCATTGTAATTACAAGTTGTCCTCCTGTGGCCTTAGCGAGACGCTTGAGATCCTCCTTCGGACAGCGACGAGCGCATAACACACCTGCTTCGACAAAATACTTCATACAGAGGTCATCAATCCCCTTGGTTGTCAAAACAACATTGGCACCAGCGTCCAAAATCTTTTGTATCTTCTCTTTTGTTATATCCATTTCTCGCTTCTTAATATTCTCGACCTCCTTGGGGTCTTTTACTTGAATGGAAACACCCATTGCCATGCGGTGCTTTTGCAGGTTCATATCAATCATTGCAATCTTGATTTCACTTGAGTCGTCTTTTGGATTGCCAACATTGGTTGGCATTCCTTGTGCAGCTCGGGTGGCATTTAAACAGAAGCCTCCTTTCATCAAATACGATTCCAACGAAGACTGCCCATGTGCTTTGAGAATGTGAATGGCTGATAGGGGATACTTAGTTTTTCCATCAAATGGACTGATGGTCTTCACGGATTTGGTTGCATCTACAGCAAGACTTGCAAAGAAGTCCCCTTCCTTTCCAATAAGCTTTGAAGACATACTGGTTCTAGCAGCTTGTAGAAGGTGATCATCTTCCAGTGACTTGACAGGAACGAGCATTTCTTTCTTTAGGTATGCCACCGCTGCCTTGCAGGCCGCTCGGTACCCTGAGAGGATTGTGGTCGGGTGTAGCCCTTGCTGTTGGACTAGTTGTTGTCCTCGTTTGAGTAATTCAGCCGCAATGATAACAACTGATGTGGTTCCATCACCTACTTCTTTATCCTGAAGCTGTGCCAAATCGACCAACAGCCTCGCAGCAGGGTGTTCTACTTCCAGCTGAGCCAAAATCGTGGCGCCGTCATTGGTGATTGTAACATCACCAATATCATCCACAAGCATTTTATCCAAACCAACAGGTCCCAAGGAAGATTTGACAATGTTTGCAACAGCGACGGCCGCTGTGACGTTGGCTATACGGACATCTTCTCCAGATTCTCGAGAGCCTTGAAGGAACTGCAGCAGGACAGAAACAACATGTGAGGCAAACGGCCAAGTGAAGTAGTGAAACGCACATTCCTTGTTGATATTTTTTCTACGAGATGCAAGTGTACTACTTCTATTCCTACATAGGCTTCAAAGGGCCTGACTTACAAGTCCACTAGCCGCTGATTGGTTCTGTGATAACGCCATGGTCTCGAGCAACGTCAAGTTTTGCTCTGGAAACGGGGTAAATGAATGAATGTACGGCTTCCAGTCAGTCGTTTTTCGCGCGTGCTTCTGACAATAAAGAATAATCGATTCAGTCGATAAAAGTAGAGCGCGCGTCAGCAGAGGGGAAAACAAGAGATGAGAGAGAGACTGCTAACGTATGCGGTGCATAATGTTGGAGAGAAACCAGAACCCTTGACACATAGGTAACCGAAACAGAACAGTAGTATTTCGCCTGCATGTGCCAATATTGATACTACTATACTGGTACTATACTGGTACAAGTACTATACAAGTACAGGTAGGTTTGCAGAGTGTTGAACAAAAACAAACATCCCCTTTTAGATGTCGTCTGCTGTTTGTCCATGTATTCAATTTGGGCTATTTCTGTTCTTCCACATCCTTCGAATGAATCGACTCGACTCGTTCGATTATTTTACATCAAAAACTTGGATTTGGCAATGGCACTTCGACGTTGGATTGTGACTTCCCAATATACTTGTTGGAAAATCTAAAACTGCAAACTATTAGATCCTATATTCAAGTATAGATTACAGGATTATGTATACTCGATTCGCCAAATTGAGCTTATTTGAGCAGATAGTCTATATGGCAGTTTTCGTAATGGGACAAAGAATGGATTGCGGAGAAGCCTACAATAACTTTCAAGCCATAAAGTTCACTACCAATCTATATTAAATACATTTAATTCAAAGTATTACATGTGATGCGGTAGCCTAGAAGCAAATACAGGGACAGTAAAGAAACCAAACTGGAAGACCATTGATTTTCGGAAACCACAAAATTGCCATTTTCGTAACTCCAAGGCATACTGTATTTCGCCACTTCTTTTGGTCTCACCGTATCATGGGGGTAGATTCCAGGATTATGTATACACCATTCGTTGAGTGGACCTTAGTTGAGCACGATAACCATCGTCAGATTGTGTCGCCGTCGAAAATCAATGCAAAACTCGTCTGGCAAAATTTTTCGCGCACTTCCTACAAAGTGCGCTTTCGAGCTTGCTACTGTATTAAAATGGGTACTGGTACGGATCCAAACGAAGTAGCACGTACTGTACCTTGTACCACCCGGTATGTTAAAACTTTATGTAAAACAAAGATAGAATTTGCTTTTGTATTATTAGTTATTTCTCTTGACGCAATCCACGGGACCTCTACAGTACCATACTGTAAAGTTCTTACAAAAGCGTAACTTTCATTACTGTTTGCCCCACTGTGATATGCATTCCGGACTCCAAAACAACTGGCGAATTTGGTGCAATATCTATATCGGCAAGTCTGCTTCCATTTGTAGACCCAGTATCCACATATACAAGCTGATTTCTCAGCAGTTCAAATCGTCCATGAGTTGTAGATACCTCCAAATCCTTTGGTAGACTGATCCCCTTCTCGCGGAACTTCTTCCCTTGTGACCTTCCAACCCAACAATGGGATCTTGCTTTTGGATGTAGTTTGTATGTTTGCCCTTCATAATCTCCTGTTTGGATTTCAATGAGTATCGCGTCGTCTTGTTTCGGTACAACTTGGACTTTAGGTTTTGCATTTGATTCATCGATAGTCTTGACAACGTTTGTTTGCGGATCGTGGTTCTCATTGGGATTTGTCTTTCCGTCGAGCATATTTGACACTTTTTCATGATCATTAACAAGACTTTTTTTGCCATGTTCCAATTGCTTTGTAAGACTCTCTACAATTTGCTCGTAAGCAGCGTCACTTTCGCCATGTGCTCGCCAAAGCCACCAATTCATCACTTGTTCGATTGTCCATGAGTCCTTTGGCTCTTTAAAAATGGAACAATTTGAGACATCTACAAGGCGTATAGGTCTAAGACTACATACGAGATATACTTACCGTCGTCGACGGTACACGGAACGGAGATGGCAGCCATTTTCAGATTTGCAAAGGTTGATGATATTGAATATGGGTTGAATAAAAGCTGGGAAGGTTCAATTTTGAATTTTTATTCAACATACGCGCTGAAAATGAACATAAAAAATACTACCATAAGAACATCTGGAGAAACAGAGAATTCTTGATATGTCTACCGCCCGCGTCTGCCAATGCCAACCATCTCACATGTCACGCACATGTCACTTCAACCACTGCGCAGTCAGTGCGGATTGAGATCCATCAACTCTTAGATACCACCAGGAACGCACCGCAACGTGCAACGCACGCAATTTAAATGTCCGTTAATTGTTAAAAATGCTTTTTTTTTAAAAACGTTAAGTGTCCGTTTCAATTTTAGCGCGGGCGCACTGTGGAAATCGGGCATGCCCCGTGCGTCAATTTGACGCAAAAACGGGCACGCCCCGCATCAAAGCAAATCTGCGTCAAATCTGCGTCAAATTAACGCAATTTCGCGTCAAATTGACGCAGATTTTTGCGCGTCTATCAACGGCTACGTCAGCTCGTTTGTCCTTCGCTCGGATTGGGAGGGGTATGTAGAAGATAGTAGAGATGGCGGTAATGGTGTAATGAGTGGCTATTTACTGAAGCCCACTCCACGTGCCAAAGTGCCGACCGTTTGATGGAAGGTCGGCCCAGAGGGTGGGTGTGGTGGGAAACTTTTTCTATTCTATGCCTAGTCAACGTTGACGTGTCTTACAACTTCGATCCTGATGCGTTAGGAAGGAGAAAAGACAAGAATATGCGATCGCTGTTGTTGAGGACTCGCTGCGGGATCTCTGCTGCGCGCACCGCGCTCGTTGACGCACCACAACGTCAAACGCACGCTCGAAATCTGTCCGTTTAGATTGTTTTGAGATTTTTTAAAAAAAGCTAAATAATATGAATGTGTCCGTTAAAATGCTCTGCAACTCTGATGCGGGACGTTTCTTTTGACGCGGGAATGACGCGAGTTGCGTCAATTTGACGCGGAGTTGCGTCATCGGCGTCAAACTGACGCATCTCTGCGTCAACTCTGCGTCAAACTGACTAATCGAAGATTACCCGGCGCCGCCTCCACTCCTGGGCTTGAATCGCATGATGTAGTCTTTGTCTGGAGAGATCGCGCACGTATGCTACCATGGAAACTGTGGCAAAAGCCTGATGCTACATACGAGAAGCAAGTAGGTTTGGCACAGTAGCGAGGTACTAAGTTAGTGACTGGTTTGCACCGAGGTCGAATCATAGGATTCGAAAAGGACAATCAATAGGATTGACAGACAAACCCGGACCAAATGGGGTACCGAGCTATGGTGCAAATGAGAGAGCCACCAAACTACTGGTGCGATCGCTTTCCGGGAAAGCGGAAGACAAAGGCCACAAACATGCGAGCGCAGGCGTGGGAAAAATAAAAATCAAAAATCAAAATTGAAAAAAAAAAAAAAAAAAAAAAAATTGAAAAAAGAAGAGAAAGTTTCAAGGATCGAAAGCTGGGCGTTCGATCATAAGGGAAAGAAGAAAGGGGGAGGAAAGGGAAGTGCCCAAGAAAGGAAGCGAAAGGAGGGAAAGGAAAGAAAGGGAGAAAGACAAAGTGGAAAGGGAAAAAACGGAGAAGGGAAGATGAAGGAGGAAGGGAGAATAGGAGGAGAGTAGTAGATGGGATTGTGTATCTAAACAATGTTTGGTATGAGTCGAGAGGCAGCGCGAGCTGCAGTCACTTCAGACTGAGTAGCCGAGGCAAGTTGGTTAATTGCCCGGTTTTGTTGCTCCAAAAGGTGTGCAACATTGCGGAGGTAAAGGAAAAAAGAATCAGAGCGCCAGCGCAAGAGAAACTTGATCTGGATAGCGTTGATACCCGCAGCGTGAAGGATCACTGCCGCCCCAGCTCAAAGAGAGTGGGACGTATATTTGTAATGTCGCTGAAGATCGCGATCAGTCAGGTTGTAAGTCTTCTTGGCCAAGGTCCAAAGGGTAGAAGCAATGACTTTGCTGTGGATGAAAAACTTTTCACCAAAGGATCCTTTGTACACTGCGAGTGGGATATCGGTCTTATCAAGACCGACAATCCGTGCAAATCGGCTGACGATGTTATGGAGACTCCGCAGAGCGTCACGGGAAGGGTTACGAGGATTGCTGGAAAGCAGTTTTTCCTCACCGTGATCATGATTCTTTTGCCAAGAGAACTTGACATTGGAGCGGGCCACGGCATCAAAATTCTCGATAAGAAACTCAGCAATCGGAACAGGACGGTTTCCCGAATCGAACAAACGAATGTCATCGAGAGTGAAAGCGCGTGTCGTACCATTCGGGGCAATCTCGCCACCGGAAGCCAAGCGACGGTAATCATCCTCCTGGGCCCATTCGCGAAGGCGAAAACCCAAATAGGTACTCAGGTTAAACCAATCTTCCATAGCACTGTGTAAACCGTCCATATGTGCTGTTGTAGCGGCATTCAGAGCCACCAAAGTGGTATGCATCTCAATTGTATAGGGGTCGACTCGATGAGGCATATTCTCATGACGCTTGCATTCATTCAGTACAGCTCGGATGGGAAGCGCCAAATCATTGTCAGAGCGATTAGTGTAGCGGGGATCTCGACCACAGAAGTTTTCAAGAAGGGTAGCTGTATCTCGAAGGTAGTTGCCAATGGTCGCTGCTTTGATGGGCTTACCCTTGACGGTATTGCCCACCGCCAAGTCGACTGCAAAAGCAGCAAGAAGGTGTGTACGGGCATCATGTGAGACGGACTCCAAAAGGAGGTCCATCGGTGGCCAATTTAGACGACGCAGAAAGCGGAGGAAATGGATGCGGTGGGAACGAATTGTCCCAAGGACTCTGGTAGATTTGATGGGACTGGACTCGAGCTGCATAACAGCGCGGATCTGAGAACGGAGATGAGTTCGGCACTGGGCTGGAAATTGCGCAAGGCGTTCATCCAAGGATACTGCTGTGATGTCTGCAGAAAAAGGCGTTCATGTGAGAGAGAGTCGGGGCGAGAAATCCAATCAGCGAGGACATTGTCATCGCCAGGGATGTGTACTGTGTGGCAAACCAAAGTAGATCTCTTCAGGAGCTGACCGTAGAGCGCAACCAAGGCCTGAGCCAACAGACTGGTGGTCCGTGTGTCGTTGATCCAAGACACCGTCGCAGTGTTGTCCGTACAACAACGAAGGACTGGGAACGCCGGAATACCATTTGGGAACAAATCACGTATGGGAGCAGAGAGCGCGGAAGACTCAATGGTCACAACAAGGGCCACTGCCTGCAGGAAGGAAACGAGGCACTCCAACACATTGATGTGGATATATGATGCGTCGGAGGGCTTTAACTTAGTACCTGCCACAATTTGTTTACTCCAAACAACACGAAACCAGTAGTCCAGGGACGTAGGATAAGCACCACCCCCAAGAAAACTAGCATCGCCAAAGGACTCGAAATGGTGGTCGTGAGGGATCATCTGGGGAATAAAAATCTTCCATTCCTCAGTTCGTAGGCTGTGGATAATTGCCTTGACCTCTCGAATTGCAGCCGGACCCAGCTTGTAGGATTGCTTGGAGCCCCAAAGAACTTTAGCCATATTACGGCTCAAGATCCCATCCATGCGGTGGATAAAGGTGGAAGACAGTCGAGAGGCGATCTGAAGCTCCCAGTCCTTCCGTCTGTGGTAGCCGATGAGGGTGCGGTACCAATGAACGAGGATCATACGAAGAAGGCGTTGCAAATTGAAGTAGGAACAGCGCATATGGCGGCAGACTGTAGTGGCGTTCGAAAGCAGACCAAGGAGTTCTGCGATTTCTTGAAGGGTTAGACGATGTTTCCGTAGAAAGGTCCGGAGCCGTTGGATGATACGATCTCGTTTCTCAGATGGGAGGCTCACCGTAAGGGCGCGGGAATCAATCGACCAACCAAGGCAGTGTCGACGATGGGAAAAAGTAGTGGTGAACTTTTCCCAAGACACGCAATCTCGGATCCCTTTTGAGGCATCTGGGAAGCCAAGGATCAAGTAAAGAGCCAGAACACTGGAGGCTATTGTTTGCTTCAGTGTCTTTGCGACATCAACATAAAGACAATCATCCACATGGTGGTCGAAATTGGGTGGGATCCGAGATCCGTCCGGATTGAAGACACCTTTGTTGATGGAGTCGGCTTCCGCTGGGGTGAACTGTGCGATCTCGTCAGGTGTTGGTTCAGGTGATGTCGATATTGCCGGAAGGTATCGTAGAACCCTAGCAATCGTAGAAGCCTGTGACCAGAGGAAGCGTGCAAGAGCCATACGGCTTAAGGCTATAATCTCGAAATTCGACGGACAGGTATTGCCACCGAATGTCAGACCAGTGCAGAAAAACAGGAAACCAAAAATGGAAAACGTATGCATACCAATCACATTTGGGTTCCATTTCCCGTGGCGAAAGGCGCCCAAGACGTCGTCGTCACCAAGGTAAAGTTCCTCGGATTTGTAGCTGATCCGAGCATTGTAGATATATGCCAGGTGGTTCCGAAGCGATTTTGGAAATTCGACCTTGTGCTCCGTATCTTTGGCAAAGGACGAAAAGTGCCATCACAGATTTGACGATCGCTCTTTCCTGGGACAACCACCAGGCCTTGTGGTATCTGCTGTGTGTCTGGTAGGAAAGGTATCAACAGAGGGTTACCAACAAGGCTGTGGGATCGGGCGAAATCCTTCTGGACTGCTTTCTGTGTTTTTTCGACATTGGTATAAACCGAGTCGTGATTTCCATATTCAGCGAAGGATCGCCGATTCTTCTCGGACGACGTGACATTGACATAATTCGGACAACCGTCAACGAGCACGCGCCGTAAATTTGCAACCAGACCATCATCGACTGATGCCGCACGTAGCTCTGGTTCTAAAGTGTTCCAATCACGATGGGCCCCTGTATGTATGTTTCCATTGTAGCGAACGGCAGTAGCTACATCCAAGTTGTAATGTAACAAACAGGCGGTGAACATCCGGCTCCAACTGTGCATGACTTGGCCCATTGGTGTATCCGAAGGAAGGACGGAACAAAGTGGCCGAAAGTCAACAAACTCGTGGCCCTTGAGGAGCAGACGAAGAAGTAAGGCTCCAGAGAAAGCCTTGCCCAAGCGATCGCCGGTCGTTTTGTCCAAGTAGCCGCTCTTGTAGAGAAAAACAAAGGTATGGCGAAATGTACTTTCCGTCTTGAAGCATCGGTCATTACTGTCCTTACCGTATGGTGACTCCACTGCGAGGGCAGTTCTACTCGGGAGATCCCGAAGAAATTGGGATTGTTCCGACCGAGTAAAAGTAGGTGTTACCCTTGCGCCCTGTTCCAGAATATGGCGGAATCGTTCCGCAACAAGCATGTCCGCAGGGTCAAGCTTGTCAAAAATTGTCCGAGTTGGGGGATAGTCCTGGAGAGCACACTCGTCCTGTGGATCAATGCGATGTGACATTGGTGCCGACCGAGACGCATAGTAGTTGACCTGTCGGGTAAGAGTGCTTACTGATGCGGCCGCCACTTGGTGGGGCAACAACAATCAACCATGAGAGAGAAGGAAAGTAACTAGGACGTAAGTGGAAAGCGAAGGTATGATAAGAAAGAGAGGTACTTCAGTAAAAAGAAAAACTAACCGGTACGTGGTTCCTGCCCAGGAGCCCATTTGACGTTTGGAGTCGATTGGACCCAGGTCTTGAAGGACTCCTGTTTGCTAGGAGGACGAGATTGGTACACTCGCTTATGGAGATGGAGCAAAGGGCAACGAGTATTCGTGCACTGGAAGTTCCGGAAGAGGAAGTTGACGCAGGCGGTCTTCTCTACACCGTTGACTTTCCACTTTTGGTCTGGCATCGGTGGCCGTCCGGTGGAAGTGCAGATTAGCATGCCCCTGGTGTTGCTTTCCTCGTTGCTAGGCTTTGGCTTCTTTGCAGGTGAAGCGACTGTATCTTGCTTGGAGGATGGTTGTTGGATATATTAGGATTTTCGAAGTACATATTTGGAGAAACGAGAAAAAGAGAATGCATGTGAACGATAGAGAAATGATGTCGACTGATACGACTAAAAATGAAGACTGATGTGACTAAAAACATTGAGCGTGGCGAGTCAGAAAACGGATTATATTTCTATGGAAATCATCCTGTTGATGATGTAAGAAAGCAAGATTCAAGCAAGAGCCAAAGTTGGATACTAATCAAAGTACCGACTACAGTGGAAGGTGAAAGGATAAACAGATTGAACTTGCAGCATATCAGGCTGACGTAGAGAGAATTCTGAGAATTTCCACTGAGCTGGAGAGGAAAGAGTCAAAGTCAAAAGTTGACAGACTATTCTCACTTTTTATAATATATTGCAAGCAACGAGTGAATTGGTTGATAAAGTAGGATCTCTGATTGATCTATATACTTCTATATACTGTAAATTAACATACTTAGAAGGCAACAATACCTGGACAGCTAGATCGCAGTCAATTGAAACAGGTAGATTGCAGGCGGCAGTGGATCGCTTACTTCTAACACTGATTTGGAAAAAAGAAGAGCCCAAGATGCCATGATGTCTCGGCCATCTCTCTGTCCCTCTATGTTTCACTCTCCCTCTGTCGACCACAGGACTAGGGAACTGCAGTCTGTCACGTAGATGGTCGCCACCTTGTTCTGGAACACTGTGCCATTGGGACGCTCTCCATTCACTTGGATCGATACGCCCAGGGCATTAGTGTTGGATATATTAGGATTTTCGAAGTACATATTTGGAGAAACGAGAAAAAGAGAATGCATGTGAACGATAGAGAAATGATGTCGACTGATACGACTAAAAATGAAGACTGATGCGACTAAAAACATTGAGCGTGGCGAGTCAGAAAACGGTTTATATTTCTATGGAAATCATCCTGTTGATGATGTAAGAAAGCAAGATTCAAGCAAGAGCCAAAGTTGGATACTAATCAAAGTACCGACTACAGTGGAAGATGAACGGATAAACAGATTGAACTTGCAGCATATCAGGCTGACGTAGAGAGAATTCTGAGAATTTCCACTGAGCTGGAGAGGAAAGAGTCAAAGTCAAAAGTTGACAGACTATTCTCACTTTTTATAATATATTGCAAGCAACGAGTGAATTGGTTGATAAAGTAGGATCTCTGATTGATCTATATACTTCTATATACTGTAAATTAACATACTTAGAAGGCAACAATACCTGGACAGCTAGATCGCAGTCAATTGAAACAGGTAGATTGCAGGCGGCAGTGGATCGCTTACTTCTAACACTGATTTGGAAAAAAGAAGAGCCCAAGATGCCATGATGTCTCGGCCATCTCTCTGTCCCTCTATGTTTCACTCTCCCTCTGTCGACCACAGGACTAGGGAACTGCAGTCTGTCACGTAGATGGTCGCCACCTTGTTCTGGAACACTGTGCCATTGGGACGCTCTCCATTCACTTGGATCGATACGCCCAGGGCATTAGTGTTGGATATATTAGGATTTTCGAAGTACATATTTGGAGAAACGAGAAAAAGAGAATGCATGTGAACGATAGAGAAATGATGTCGACTGATACGACTAAAAATGAAGACTGATGCGACTAAAAACATTGAGCGTGGCGAGTCAGAAAACGGTTTATATTTCTATGGAAATCATCCTGTTGATGATGTAAGAAAGCAAGATTCAAGCAAGAGCCAAAGTTGGATACTAATCAAAGTACCGACTACAGTGGAAGATGAACGGATAAACAGATTGAACTTGCAGCATATCAGGCTGACGTAGAGAGAATTCTGAGAATTTCCACTGAGCTGGAGAGGAAAGAGTCAAAGTCAAAAGTTGACAGACTATTCTCACTTTTTATAATATATTGCAAGCAACGAGTGAATTGGTTGATAAAGTAGGATCTCTGATTGATCTATATACTTCTATATACTGTAAATTAACATACTTAGAAGGCAACAATACCTGGACAGCTAGATCGCAGTCAATTGAAACAGGTAGATTGCAGGCGGCAGTGGATCGCTTACTTCTAACACTGATTTGGAAAAAAGAAGAGCCCAAGATGCCATGATGTCTCGGCCATCTCTCTGTCCCTCTATGTTTCACTCTCCCTCTGTCGACCACAGGACTAGGGAACTGCAGTCTGTCACGTAGATGGTCGCCACCTTGTTCTGGAACACTGTGCCATTGGGACGCTCTCCATTCACTTGGATCGATACGCCCAGGGCATTAGTGTTGGATATATTAGGATTTTCGAAGTACATATTTGGAGAAACGAGAAAAAGAGAATGCATGTGAACGATAGAGAAATGATGTCGACTGATACGACTAAAAATGAAGACTGATGCGACTAAAAACATTGAGCGTGGCGAGTCAGAAAACGGTTTATATTTCTATGGAAATCATCCTGTTGATGATGTAAGAAAGCAAGATTCAAGCAAGAGCCAAAGTTGGATACTAATCAAAGTACCGACTACAGTGGAAGATGAACGGATAAACAGATTGAACTTGCAGCATATCAGGCTGACGTAGAGAGAATTCTGAGAATTTCCACTGAGCTGGAGAGGAAAGAGTCAAAGTCAAAAGTTGACAGACTATTCTCACTTTTTATAATATATTGCAAGCAACGAGTGAATTGGTTGATAAAGTAGGATCTCTGATTGATCTATATACTTCTATATACTGTAAATTAACATACTTAGAAGGCAACAATACCTGGACAGCTAGATCGCAGTCAATTGAAACAGGTAGATTGCAGGCGGCAGTGGATCGCTTACTTCTAACACTGATTTGGAAAAAAGAAGAGCCCAAGATGCCATGATGTCTCGGCCATCTCTCTGTCCCTCTATGTTTCACTCTCCCTCTGTCGACCACAGGACTAGGGAACTGCAGTCTGTCACGTAGATGGTCGCCACCTTGTTCTGGAACACTGTGCCATTGGGACGCTCTCCATTCACTTGGATCGATACGCCCAGGGCATTAGTGTTGGATATATTAGGATTTTCGAAGTACATATTTGGAGAAACGAGAAAAAGAGAATGCATGTGAACGATAGAGAAATGATGTCGACTGATACGACTAAAAATGAAGACTGATGCGACTAAAAACATTGAGCGTGGCGAGTCAGAAAACGGTTTATATTTCTATGGAAATCATCCTGTTGATGATGTAAGAAAGCAAGATTCAAGCAAGAGCCAAAGTTGGATACTAATCAAAGTACCGACTACAGTGGAAGATGAACGGATAAACAGATTGAACTTGCAGCATATCAGGCTGACGTAGAGAGAATTCTGAGAATTTCCACTGAGCTGGAGAGGAAAGAGTCAAAGTCAAAAGTTGACAGACTATTCTCACTTTTTATAATATATTGCAAGCAACGAGTGAATTGGTTGATAAAGTAGGATCTCTGATTGATCTATATACTTCTATATACTGTAAATTAACATACTTAGAAGGCAACAATACCTGGACAGCTAGATCGCAGTCAATTGAAACAGGTAGATTGCAGGCGGCAGTGGATCGCTTACTTCTAACACTGATTTGGAAAAAAGAAGAGCCCAAGATGCCATGATGTCTCGGCCATCTCTCTGTCCCTCTATGTTTCACTCTCCCTCTGTCGACCACAGGACTAGGGAACTGCAGTCTGTCACGTAGATGGTCGCCACCTTGTTCTGGAACACTGTGCCATTGGGACGCTCTCCATTCACTTGGATCGATACGCCCAGGGCATTAGTGTTGGATATATTAGGATTTTCGAAGTACATATTTGGAGAAACGAGAAAAAGAGAATGCATGTGAACGATAGAGAAATGATGTCGACTGATACGACTAAAAATGAAGACTGATGCGACTAAAAACATTGAGCGTGGCGAGTCAGAAAACGGTTTATATTTCTATGGAAATCATCCTGTTGATGATGTAAGAAAGCAAGATTCAAGCAAGAGCCAAAGTTGGATACTAATCAAAGTACCGACTACAGTGGAAGATGAACGGATAAACAGATTGAACTTGCAGCATATCAGGCTGACGTAGAGAGAATTCTGAGAATTTCCACTGAGCTGGAGAAGAAAGAGTCAAAGTCAAAAGTTGACAGACTATTCTCACTTTTTATAATATATTGCAAGCAACGAGTGAATTGGTTGATAAAGTAGGATCTTTGATTGATCTATATACTTCTATATACTGTAAGTTCATATACTTAGAAGGCAACAATACCTGGACTTGTGGGCTTGGACTAACAAACGTCTGAGCGCCACGAAAGTCCCAGACTGAATCCTGCGGGAGTTCAGTGCGTGGGTTTTGTACCGGCTGTTGGATATATTAGGATTTTCAAAGTACATATTTGGAGAAACGAGAAAAAGAGAATGCATGTGAACGATAGAGAAATGATTTCGACTGATAGGACTAAAAATGAAGACTGATGCGACTAAAGACATCGAGCATGGCGAGTCAGAAAACGGATTATATTTCTATGGAAATCATCCTGTTGATGATGTAAGAAAGCAAGATTCAAGCAAGAGCCAAAGTTGGATACTAATCAAAGTACCGACTACAGTGGAAGGTGAACGGATAAACAGATTGAACTTGCAGCATATCAGGCAGACGTAGAGAGAATTCTGAGAATTTCCACTGAGCTGGAGAAGAAAGAGTCAAAGTCAAAAGTTGACAGACTATTCTCACTTTTTATAATATATTGCAAGCAACGAGTGAATTGGTTGATAAAGTAGGATCTTTGATTGATCTATATACTTCTATATACTGTAAGTTCATATACTTAGAAGGCAACAATACCTGGACTTGTGGGCTTGGACTAACAAACGTCTGAGCGCCACGAAAGTCCCAGACTGAATCCTGCGGGAGTTCAGTGCGTGGGTTTTGTACCGGCTGTTGGATATATTAGGATTTTCAAAGTACATATTTGGAGAAACGAGAAAAAGAGAATGCATGTGAACGATAGAGAAATGATTTCGACTGATAGGACTAAAAATGAAGACTGATGCGACTAAAGACATCGAGCATGGCGAGTCAGAAAACGGATTATATTTCTATGGAAATCATCCTGTTGATGATGTAAGAAAGCAAGATTCAAGCAAGAGCCAAAGTTGGATACTAATCAAAGTACCGACTACAGTGGAAGGTGAACGGATAAACAGATTGAACTTGCAGCATATCAGGCAGACGTAGAGAGAATTCTGAGAATTTCCACTGAGCTGGAGAAGAAAGAGTCAAAGTCAAAAGTTGACAGACTATTCTCACTTTTTATAATATATTGCAAGCAACGAGTGAATTGGTTGATAAAGTAGGATCTTTGATTGATCTATATACTTCTATATACTGTAAGTTCATATACTTAGAAGGCAACAATACCTGGACTTGTGGGCTTGGACTAACAAACGTCTGAGCGCCACGAAAGTCCCAGACTGAATCCTGCGGGAGTTCAGTGCGTGGGTTTTGTACCGGCTGTTGGATATATTAGGATTTTCAAAGTACATATTTGGAGAAACGAGAAAAAGAGAATGCATGTGAACGATAGAGAAATGATTTCGACTGATAGGACTAAAAATGAAGACTGATGCGACTAAAGACATCGAGCATGGCGAGTCAGAAAACGGATTATATTTCTATGGAAATCATCCTGTTGATGATGTAAGAAAGCAAGATTCAAGCAAGAGCCAAAGTTGGATACTAATCAAAGTACCGACTACAGTGGAAGGTGAACGGATAAAGAGATTGAACTTGCAGCATATCAGGCTGACGTAGAGAGAATTCTGAGAATTTCCACTGAGCTGGAGAGGAAAGAGTCAAAGTCAAATGTTGACAGATTATTCTCACTTTTTATAATATATTGCAAGCAACGAGTGAATTGGTTGATAAAGTAGGATCTTTGATTGATCTATATACTTCTATATACTGTAAGTTCATATACTTAGAAGGCAACAATACCTGGACAGCTAAATTGCAGTCAATTGAACAGGTAGATTGCAGGCGGCAGTGGATCGCTTACTTCTAACAATGGTGACTCGGAGGACCGTTTGCCAGAAGATGAAGCGTCGGGGGCCTCGGTGGAAGAAATCAGGGCACTCAGGGCGGATGTCCTGGGATAGTTGGGGCGGCGACAATTTCGCAGTCCTTCGTCAATCTTGTCCAGCAGGAGCTGTGTCTGGGCTCTTGCGCCAGAGAAGAGTTCAGCACGTTGAATGGTGCCCAGTGGTCGTGCTTTGGCGTGGAGAGTGAAGTCCTTGGCCTCAGAGGCAATGACCTGGAAAACGGTTTGGAGGTCATGGAGGATGTGGACAGCGACACCCGTGAGGTCGATCACATGCTGCCACTGGACGGCGTCAGGACTGGACGGCGTCAGGTCAAGGCAACCATAACCGTGTCGAACTGTTCCACCATGAAGGGTGTGTTGTTGGACATGGAGAAATTTTCGGTTGCGAAGTCAGCAAGTTGTGCTACATTGGAGATGGTGCTCTTGATGTCGGCAATGGAGGTGCAGCGACCCTTGGAGTACAATTTTGTCTTCTTGGAGGCCCTTTTGGTGACATGCTCACCCATGTCTTCTTGCATACAGGCTTCTTCATCTTTGTTAATATGCGAGGCTAAGTCCTTGTCGGTCCTGTCGGTAGGGAGGAACTGAAGGAGACTGAAGCAGGACAGTGCATCGGATGGGTTCATTACCAGAGGTCTGGTGGTAAAGCTGGCTCCTTGGATCGCCGCCATCCCAGCTGCCTGGATGCGATGGACATCCCAGTCGAAGAGAGCATGGTAAGCATTGCGGGTAGGTTGGAGCCCTTTAATGGATTGCTCAAAGGCTTTGTGGAAGAAACGAAGGGCAAGTTGGGGTTTTGCCTTCAAAATGGTCTTCCAAGCGGACGAACAATCAGCCAGTACGTATTCAACACTCCCATCCGGGTGAGTGATGAAATGGCCAAAGAGTATTCGCCAGGACAGTAGGACTCGCTCTTGAGCTTCGGTTGCCGCGTCGTTGGTGGCCGTAGTCTTTGATGCCAAAATTGCCTCCTTGATGATACTGGCGTGGTCGATTGGTTGGGCAGCCCCGGTAGGAACACTTGGTTCGGCAGAGACATCGGTGTGGGCACGGGAGAGCGCATCGACCTTACTGTTGAAGCTCGCAATGTACTTGTAAAAGGACTCAGAGCCGGTCCGGGCGTCGCGAAACTCGTACCCAGATGCTGTGGAGAGAGTATTCTCGGAGATTGCAGCTAGCTGCTCGTTGACAATAAAGTGGTTCAGTGGGATAGAAGTCCTGCCCACGAGTGTCTCGTCGACAAAAAGGCTTCTTCCCATCGTATTCATGAAGAGAAAGGCATGAACTTCGACCCATAGACGTTTGTGAGGCGAAAGGGCTAGAAGAACTTCTTCAGGGACGTCTTGGGTAAGGTCCAGATCCGGTGGCATCTTGCTACCTGGAACAAGAGGGCAGAAAACCGAGACAGCACAGAAGGTTGGTGATTCGACTGTGAAGTCGATTTCTTCAGGTAAGTCTGCGTCGTTGGCGTTCTTGGCGTTGCTCGGGTGGTACTGGGTGTCCTTCAGCAAAGGGACGCAGCACGAGACGGCGCGGCCATTGTTGCCCACCCCGATCACCCGTTTGGAGAGTTCGTCGGGGTCAATGGTCACGGGGATCGCTTGGGCAAGGTCGTCTCGAAGGGAGGCGAAGATACCGGCCGACATTCCATTGTCAAGGATAACCTCTTTTGGGATGGTAACGACCGTGAGCTTTCCTTGAGGGTCGAAGAACATCAAACCAGGTGCCGAGGTGACAGCAGTGGCATGATCAGACATGCTGGACGAGCCATGGAAAACGTTCTTCAAGAGGGCATCGGAGTCCGCATCGGTGGGGAGGGACTTGATAGAAGAGTATGAAGGGAATCGCATTGCGGATGATGGTGTCGATCAATTGGTCGTAAAAAATCCGAGATCAGAAATTTATGAGGAGGGACGAGATTGGGCAAGATATTGTAGGTGTGTGGAGGTTGGTATGGAATATACTGCAGTGCAGGGACAGAGAAGTGGCGTGTCAGCAAGTGAAGATTGAAGTGTGAATGGGAAATAAAAAGGGAAGAAAAGTTTTCAATCTGGGAAGGAAAAGTTTTTGTTTTATGGGCAGGAAATATATATAACTGATGCATTAATCGTATTAAAACTATCTCAAGTTTCTAGATTGCCGTTAACGGCTGTCATGGCCATTTACCATACGGAGGTGAGTCCAGTACTGTTGAACCAGTGTGAGGCATCCAATCCCAAAGAAGTTGCTCTCATCGGATATTACATTGCACCCTTGCACATGTAGAAACGATCTTGCCACTCGGGGCGGCGTATTTTTATTTTGTTTTTTGAGTTTTTTGAAGGTGTTGGTGGGCATGATTGTGTAGCAGGTGGGAAGCCAATTGTTCTTGCGCCCTAATGCTGGGCGTATCGATCCAAGTGAATGGAGAGCGTCCCAATGGCACAGTGTTCTTTTTATGGGCAGGAAATGCTCTTCGAAGGCGCTCGGGGGGTTAGTGGTTAGTGATAGAACTGTAATATATAAACACTAGAAGATGTAAAAACCATATTCAGGCAAGGGATATCCAGCTTGGAGAGGGAAAGGATGAGAGTCGCAAAGGGAAAAGGAGGCCGAGAACGAAGAAGACAAGAAAGGCTCGGATCCGAGTTCGGCTTTAAAATAGTTATTAAAACAGACGGCTCAAGCACGCAGAGCGAAAACAGTTGTTTATAGAAATATATTGCGGCTAGAGGGGCAATATGTAGACCTCAACGGAGGATTGTCAGATAACCTCGACAGAGGACCCCGACATAGGAATTTGATGTTAACCGCAGCGGAGGACCTTGACGGAGGATTTGGGAACCTCGATGGAGGACCTCGACGGAGGATTTGATGTTAACCTCGATGGAGGACCTTGACGGAGGATTTTGTAACCTTGACGGAGGACCTCGACGGAGGATTTTGTAACCTTGACGGAGGACCTCGAAGGAGGATTTGTAACCTTGACGGAGGACCTCGACGGAGGATTTGTAACCTTGACGGAGGACCTCAACGGAGGATTTTTGTTAACCTCGACGGAGGACCTCGACGGAGGATTTTGATAAAAGCGGTGGGATGTAGACAAAAGCAAAAGCAAAAAAGCTGACGGTCTTGACCGAGCAGCTAAGCTCCTTCTATCGTCTCCATCATCCCACAAGCTCCCATTGCGAACAATGTCTTCTCCAAATCTTCCGTCCTCTTCGTCGGCACTCTTCGCTCCATCCGCCAACCGTGTACTTCACTGAAGCGACGCGCCATAATCGACACGACGGAAATTGAGACTAAGGAAGAGCTAGAAACGCCCATACGTCTCCCGTCTTGCCGATCTATCATCTGTGACAATATACCTTGTGTCAAGGCACACAGTTCAATAATACCATCATTCTGTTTTCACAAGTCGATAGTAACAATATGACAGAGGGTGTAGATGGGTGCAGATTGCTTCAATAGTGGAGTGTAAGGTATTTGGAATTCGATTTGGTCTGGATGACAAGTTGGTGTCAATTTTTTGGTTTGAAATGGGAAAATGAGCGATCTGGGGGCGTAACCAACCCTTTCAAATACTCTACATGTTGTAGAATGCATTGCCTTGCTAATGGAAGTAATTTCTGCAACTTTGGGACATCAAGAAATGATCTATGGGGTGGGAGTGGGGTCAATCCGATGAATACGGAAATTTCGTCGAAACACGATTCGGTCAAAAAAGAAAATTAAATCTCGTGGCTCGAGAACATCACCTGAGAACCCAAATTTTTGAACCAAGCTTCCACTATATTAAGGTAATAGGTGTGTAAAATTGTCCCCAAAATTGAACACAAATCACATCCGTTGAATAGCTTAATGATGGAATTAGACAGTACTCGGCCCTGATCAGGGCCGTCTGATCCCCGATGGGTTAAACAATTAACGGACATTTCAATTGCGTGCGTTGCACGTTGTGGTGCGTTCCCGTAAGTAGCACCAATCTTACAGAGACCAGGCATAGAAAAAGGCTCATGGAAGAAATACCCACCCTTTTCTACGATGTTGACAACAAGTAAAACAGCTCACCAGAAACTGTATCTTCATTCCGTAAATCATGAGCGACATCGTTGGTTGTCCTACTCAGTTTACCAGGAAGAGTGGTATTGGCAAGTTAGGCCTGCAGTATTGCCGATGTAGCAAACCTGACAAACATGGGTCATTGTATCCAAAATGCGTTTAACATTGAATAGTGTGACTCCTCTGATCAATTTCATAGGACCATTATTGTCGAAATACAAATCACGACCAACTATGCTATCATGCGGACACAAGAATGCTTTGTAGAGGTTAACAAGCACTGCGTCCAAAGCACAATCTAGTTGCTGCCGAGAAATTCTATTACAGCTTTTCAAACCAGATCATGCTTTAGCAGCCTTACAGAATTGATGGAGTACCACTAGGTACCGTACTTTGTGTGTGCAATCTCTCAAATCTTATAGATCAATTATCCATTGCGATTTTAACGTGCACTGAGGGCTTCACTGAAATGTGCGAGTAATACTCTTCCGCTACTCGGCAACAGAACCGCCAGGAATCACGGCAGCAACATCCAAGCCCCTCATGTAAGAGAGTTTTGTTCCGTCCGAAAGTTCTTCGTCTTTTGGACCAATTCCCCACGGTTGTTTGGCGATTACAAGATCTCCAGGCTTGAGGTTGTCCAAGTTCGGTGCAACAGATCCATTTTCTTCCTCTCTTCCGGGCCCAACACTAAGAACTTTACACAAGTGCAAACGGGGCAAGTCTTCGTCAGGCACATAGAGGCGTCCGTCTTCAGTATCTTGAGGAGCTTTGCGCTTTTGGAGTCTCTCAACAAGAACCATATCGTAGCAGCATGCATATTGTTTTGCTTTTTCGTCATCAAGAATCAGTCTGCCGACGCCAGCACCGCCACCGTACGATGGTTTTGGCTGAGGAAATGCCAGAGCTGTAAGTGACAAAGAAACTATCAGCAGGACAGCTCGAAGTGTGGAAGTCATAGTAGAAACGATATTTTGATGGAAATAGAAAGCGATATTTTGATTACGGTTCGTACAGTTTGAAGTTTGTTGATGGCTCATTTTGAACGGATGGAACACGGACGAGTGACGTACACGTGTACGTCATGTGATGTACATACCGGTACAGTACTGTATTTTATCACAAGCGGTTCCCCCATTGGTGCAACCTCCCATTATTCATTCTTGTTTACCGCGATATGATCTTAACGAGGGTGCTAGTGATTTTAGCACTTTGCCTGGCCGACACCAATGCACTGACGGCAAAGCCTAGAGTGGATAGCAGTCGACGATCGTTCCTGGTGATTTCGCCCATTGTAATTTTTGGTGCGAGTCTCCCAGCAATTGCAAACGATGTTGAGAACTTGAGCATGTCTGCTGCTACTGAACAGTCAGAGGTGAGTGGGACGATTTAAACATTTGGTTGAACCCTCGTTTCGACTCTTGCGAAGACAGGCGCCGATTATTAAAACGTGCTTTGTCTTCGCCCTTTGAGGGGACAGAAAGGAGCCTGCCTGAAAAGGCAGCAAAATGTTCTAGCTATGTTTGCTGAGTTCCATTTCTCTATATAAATGGAACCTCTATCCCAACATGGACACATTCTGATTTTAGCCTTCGTTTTCTGCTTTGTAGGAGGAGAAGATGACAGAGCGACTAAGAAGAAAGGCTGAACTTCAGAAGAAGGCAAGTAAACCTGCATCATTTGCTGATAGCCTTGCAGCGGAGAAAAAGAAAAAAGACGAACTGAAAAAGTCGAAAGAAGAGAGGCGAAATGCACTCTGTGAAGAGCTTGGACGTGGGTGCTAAACTACAAATCTCGACAATAAAGCTACCGAACAGAATTATTTGTATTGTTTTAATGGGGAACTTTAATGTTGAAGCACATTTACCCCTACCCTCGACGCAAATGACTAATAATGTGGCACAATAGAGATCCCTACTGCAGCAGCAATAATGTTAATACTTGGGGCTTTCTCTCAGTCGTCAGCTCGCGACGGCAATTGCATAGGTGCAGAAGCTGATTCTTCTGCAGAGGCTAGTTGTGCTCTCATTGCATCATCAAAAAATTTGTTGATCGATACATCTTCGGACAACCCCTTACGTCGTCTCGTCTTCAGCAGAAGTTCGCGAGCCAAATGTTGGGATGGGCTTGGCTCAAGGGGATGCAAAATGATATTCTTGTCCAGCGGATCGCCGGGAACTAGATCCCAGTGATCGAAGATCGAATGAACCATTGCTTGGCCTTGTGTGAAGGTTCTAAGATCTGTTTCGAACCCAAAACTATCCAAAACGGGGACAAAGCCTTTGATGTTGTAGAGGAAGGTACCCGGAATCGGTCTGTCTCGTACGACATGCCCACGTCTTCGTTTCAAAAGATTCTGAACAGAGTCCACGATTTCTCCCGGGCACTGAATTTGGAGTCTGTATACCGGTTCCATCAATCTTGGCGTAGCTGTAAGAATAGAAGAATGAACAGCTCTGCGAGCTGTGGGGATCACTTGACCACCACCACGGTGTATCGATTTCTCCGCTAAGACCGCGTCAAGAATCTTGATTTTTGAACCACGAACAGGTTCCTCGCATAGTGGTCCTTCCCTAGTTGCCCATTGAAACCCTTGCACAATACTAGATCTGCAGGAATTAAGCAGTTGCTTATCGACTTCACTGGGTAGCGTGTCATCCATAAGGAGATTTGTCCCACGGGTTGGCGAGTCACCAAACGCCCACACTGAACGAGATGACAACAAATCCCACCCATATTGGTTCTGGAAGAAGCGGCTTAGCTGAATTGGCAAAAAATATGATGAGATGTCGAAGGTGCCTTCGATATCTCGTGCAAAATGTTCACTGCTTTACCTTTCTTTTTTCCCAATCTATTTTCACTTTACCAGCTTCCAATCGTTCCGCCATACCATCATCAAGTGGCTCGGCGATGAGTGTGAGCTTGTTTCGTTTGTTTGCTGTCTATGCGACCAAGAAGGAGATGAGTTTCAAGTATTGATCGTATTCTGATCTCATTGATATGCGACATACCTCTGCGAAACATTTCAAACTGCTCGTTTCGATGATTGTCTCTCGAAATGCGACTACTGGATCTGCAACTTTGACTTCGATATCCGTGTACACATGACGAAGGTCGTGCAGTACACAGTCCATGTACAATTCCCCAGTACCAAATAAGACATGTTCTCCAGACTCTTCCACGCGAGTTCTGACCATGGGATACGCTTTGCCGACTCGTCGCAGACCTTCCACCATTTTCGGTAACTCTGCCGGGTTCAATGGCTCGAGTGCGATTTTCATCGTTGATTCCCCACCAGCGAACGGAAACTTTAACGGTGTGAATATATGGACTTTGTCCTCTGCTGTAGAAGTGGCTTCCTCTGAAATGCCTACAATTGTTGCAGTTTTTGCGATTGTAGCATCGACGCCTTGCAACAAGACCCAATTCCCTGACGTTGCCAAAGTCACATTCGTCAGACTTCTCCCACGAGGAATGGATACGGCCTCAATCGATGCAATAGCCATATCTTCATCGTCTTCGTCAGGCTCATAACCCTCGCCGAGGACCTTTACCTTCTGGCCCGGTTTGACTGTGCCAGAATATATTCTTCCGAATGCTCCAAAGGAACTACCGTCTGGAGCACTATATAACTTACATATATGAATGACCAAACGACCATTATGGTTGCACTGGATCATATCTTTTGCTACCTGAGAGTCCATAGGCCCTGAGTAACATCGCGCAACTTTGCCTTTTGCTGCAACAGCTGGACACGACCTGAGGATAAACAAACTTAGTGAGTATTGGTCTAATTCTCGCTGTGTATAGTTACTTCAAGACGTACGTGTGCTTCACAATCATATCGATAAACCCGCAGCTCGCAACTTCAAAAAACTTCGATAGTGCTGCCCGCAATAATGGTCGGGCGCTTGAGCGAAGCTGATTCCTTTTTAGCAGAACGCCCAAGCTCCGAAGTAACTGATTAACATCATCTTCTCGTTCCCCCAAACATGCCGTGTAAATCTTGTATAGTGGCTCCAAACACAAAGTTACAAAACTCCTCTCTGTCCGAGGCGACGAACAGTGTTTCGGCGAATCATGGAACTCTTTTCTACTTTCATCCCAGTACCAGTCGCCCCATAATCGCTCAGAGAACTGTTCCACTGAAAAACTTCCAAGCGTGTTGTCGTTATGGTCCGCATAGAGGTGTGCGTAGCTCGACAGTGTGAACAGCCAACCGTGCAAACCAGAGGCAAAGCATACATTTCCCTTGGATGGATCAAGAAGTCCTTTATACCGTCCACGAGATGCCAGCTCTAGAGTTTTATTTGCAGCTTCTACCACGTGCAGCAATTTGAAATAGGCATCCCTAGGAGGGAGCTTCAGCTCTGTAATGAGGCGATCCACTTTCGAGATACAAAGTGTTATGGGTAGGCCTTCATTCACGATTTGCTTCAAAAGGAGTTCGGTGTGCATCATCACTCCTTCAACAGCATCGACAACAACAACAGCCCCGTCAACAGAACGCAACGCAGCAACTGATTCATCATGGAACTGCGTATGACCCGGACAATCGACGAGTGTAACTCCATGTGTCTTTCCTCGTGTGTCCGACAACAATAGTGTCAAAGGAGTGCTAACAAGTGACATCTGGCGTTCTTGTTCTGATTTGAGCATATCTGTGAAGCGAGGAACCTGGTCTTCCAGAGACGCTCGGGGACCCCAAGGTTTTTGAAGCGTTGGCTCCATCAAGAAGTCCACCAATGACGTTTTCCCGTGATGAAAATGACCCACAATTGCAATACCCCTTCTATTCCGCGTAGTTTCATTGGACAGAACAGTTGTTAGATACTCGTCACTGTATATATATTCAATATGAGGTGAATTTCCGAGGTCAACGTGGTGCGACTTGGTGACTACAGGCTCTACAATTGGAGTATCAAGATCCATAGCATCTTCGTCCAATACAGCAGTGCGGACCCCTTCACCATAGGTCTGTTCAGCAGAAAGATAATGCTCCTTATCTTCATGCAGAACAATTGCATTGACGGGATCGCCTGTCGCATCTTTCTCGCCCTGGTCCGCCGAAAGAACCATTTCACTGTTATTGTTGTCATCTGAAACATCGGAGGCATCATCGGGTACATTTTGTTGGACATCATTTTCCTCATCAGAAGACTCTTCATCAGAGGAGGAATCTAGTTCAGGGCCAATATAGTTCCCAAACTCATCGTACAAATCCTCGTCATCATGGACTTCTGCCATTCTTCAAGTCCGACTGTGGTGTTGTTCTGCAAGAAGGATTTCTTTCACTGCTTCGGCCATCGGCAAGATTATGCGACGTTCTAATGATGAACGGACGCAGATTTCTCTGTATGATGACAGACGGGTCCCACGAAACAACAACTACAGTTGTGAACAATACTGTAGGTTGTTTTAAAACTGTACAGTACAGTACCGGTACATGTACCTGGTACCTAATGCAAATGCAATGTCAAACGTGAAGTACCGGTACTTTATCATTCGAGTACCATACCGGTACGACCGACAGGTGGATGTGAGACAAAACAATAGAGTATATTGACTATCTCATCATCTCATAGCCCTCCCCACATCTTGGCAGCAAGAAGAAGAGAACCAGACCAACCAAGCGATTAAAAACAAAATAGACGAGATCTAAATCCATATTCGTGCTACTCCTTCAATCATGGCCTCAAAATACTTCTCAACGCGTCGAGACTTGAAACAGTATTCGACTGAAGAACTTTTCGATCGAGTTTGTACTCGTCTTCCATAGAAAGCCTTTTCCTTTTCGTTTGCTCCTTCATAGAGGCAGGGATCTCATCATTTTCCACGTCATTGTTTCTTGCTTTCTTGGTAGTGCCCAATTGATGAATCATTTCTTTACATTCATTTGTCAATTCACGCAAGTCTTTTCCCTTTGAAACCACCTGGTTGACTGGAAAGGCAACATTCTCTGTAGATATCTCTAGCAAGGCCGTGACTGCAACATTACTAACTGCAATCGCGCTTTCAAGGCCGTGGTATTTCGAGGCAAGTTCATTCCTGAGTAATCGAGTAGCATTCAATCTCTCTTTCAGTTGAACGAGCTCGCGTTCAAGCTGATTCATTTGCTCGAGAGACGGCATTTCTGCACTTGTAGGCAAGATAATCAATGCAGATTGATCTAGAATCACTTGCGTATTGCCTTCCGTCATGTCGACTTCTCGCAAAGATGGATTGCTTGCATGTAATACATGTAGCTGTCGACGGCGGGTGTAGTTGCGAAGCGTGAAAATGTTGCGGCTGCCGTAAGATTCCATTATATCAATATTGCGCATACAGGCCCCCTCTATCTTTTGTTTCAACGCAAAAATCTTCTCTTGATCTGTAACCAATGGTAGAGATTCCACCCCTTCAATGATCGCCTTCCGAACATAATCTGCAAGCGCATCAGCGATTTCGGAATTCAACGAACCAAACAAGCGTTCATCTACTGAAACCTCAGATTTGAAACAACCTGTAGCGCTGAGGGTACTTTCAGTCTTCTCTATCGCCATGATCTGCCGTTTATGATGGTATCAGAAGATGGAATGCACAAGACTGTGAAGAATAGAATAATAGATTACGCTTGTACCGTATGATCATATATACGGTATGATACCTGGGGAACAAGCCAAAATTTGAATTTGACGTCGAAAAAAATAGAATACAGTGCAGTTGGCACGTGTAAGTGTACAATCATTCAGTACCAGGTACCGGTACGTGTACGTATACCAGTGCAGGACAACTGGGAAACGTTACTCTTAATCTTTGGGAGAACTGAAACCACTCCCCAAACTCTTTTTTCGCCCCCAATGAAAATATGACAAGTGGGTGACAGCAAGCCCGCACCTCTGTGTGAGAACTTTCAGCAGTATAGTATCTTTGTCTCTGCAGTAAAGCGGCATTGATTGAAGCCTTTTCATGATTATTCCCTTCTTGTCACGTGCCAGATTTCAATGTCGTCAACGCTGTACACTGGATCCAACTTCGTGCCAGAAATTTGTTCCACCAGGAGTCCGCGCTGAGTAGCTAATTCTTCAAATTTAGATCGTGGGTGGTAGTCAGGGTAGTATCGATGCTCATAGCTCAAGATGGCAACGCTAGTAGGAGATACCAAGAGCTCATCGATGGCTTGGACTAGAGGCGCGATGGGATACAATTTCGGCAGTACACAGTCGGCAACTATGATGACTTCACAATCTTGATGGCCCATCATCGAGTCATCTCCCCACCAGTATCTTTGAACAGAAAACTTTTCCGACGAAAAAGATTGCAATACGTCACCTGTCAGCTCTTGTTTGACATGTTGCAAGTTGCTTTCTGCGAGCTGCACGACGCTGTCTTCCCCATCAGTGCAGATGACGATAGAAGCTCCCAGGAGAGCCGATGCCACACTGGTGATACCTGTACCTGATCCCAGATCTGCAACTTTCTTTCCCTGTAAGAGGGATGGGTTTCGCTCTAGGTACTTTATGAGCACAAGCGCTGCCGGCCATACGGTGGCGCCCGTTCCGTATGTTCCGTCTACTTCGCCTCGTTGCACTTGTTTGACAGAAAATCCAATACCATTGACAGTACATGGATAGTACTTAGCTTGAGAGTGTCTGTTTCTCCATCCCAAAGACTGAACACGCCGCCTGAGATTTAAGCTCTGTCTCGAAGACGACGATCTTGTGTCAAGGGCATCGAAGAAAGCTTTGGCCGTAGGGTGTGTAGTCGTTGCGAATTCGGCAGTTTCTTCTTGTTCGCTCATTATTATACAATGCCGCGTCGTGGCTTGGGGCTTATTTTCTGTTACTTCTGCTTTGTAAATACCAGTAACAACATCACCCAGCTAGCATGACAAACTGTTGGGGAATTTTTCAATCAAACTTGAATTTTCGAACTCTGCGCGAATTGTGCGCGGAAAATGTGAAATAAACCGTTACTCGAAGAAAAATTCAAAACAACACTTTGAACTTTGAACTTTATTTCAACTTTTTGTTGCCTCTCCAATCCGTTGCGCAACCGCAAAACAAATATTTTTGATCATCACAAAATGAACACTTCGATGGTGGAGGACTGCACTATTGACGACACCCTCAGTTCCGCCGAAAGTAGTCAAGAGTTCACTTTCAGTACTGCTTCAACACTTCGAAGGAACTTGGCAGAAACGTTTGATCAACAAGTTTTTCCACCAAAGAATCAACAGAAAAATGTTCGCCCTCACGATCTGAATCCAGCTTCTCAGTCAGTAAAGATTGTTCCAATTTCTGATCGAATCCAACAATGTGAGGCAGTAAGCATGGGTCGGGATATCAAGCCACCACTAATTCCAAGTCGAAAGCTACGACCAAACAATCCCATACCCCCGGATAGTTTCTCAGTCTACCTTCGTATTCGACCACCTGACTCGTACATGACCGGAAAAGAGCAAGCAGACAGTCGAAAACGAAAGATGATTTCTGAACAAGCAATCAATACGATCGAAATTGTTCCGCCCAAGGATCCTAAACAGAATCCCACCACTGTCAGAACTTTCCCGCCCCCAGAATCAAACACTTCAAAGTTTCACTCTTCGCAAAGAAATGGGCAGAATTCTGCATCGCTAGCCTCTGCTATTAAGGAATTCCAATTCCATCAAGTGTTGCCACATGATACTTCGCAACAGGATTTCTATTCTGTCGTTGCAGCACCTTTGGTCCAGAACGTATTCAATGTGTCCCAACCGAATCATGCACCATCGCACCTGTCCCGTTCTGGGAGTCAAAATTCGGCATTGTTGTTTTCGTACGGAATCACAAATGCAGGGAAGACGCACACTATGCTGGGAAGTACAACGTCTGCTCCGGATACTTCAAAATGGGGCATTATTCCACGAGCGATCTCAGACATATTAGACCGGATCAAATTTGCCGCAATCGAACAAGGCGAAGCTTCTGATCTGTTTGTAAGCTGCTTTGAAGTCTACAACGAACAAATATTCGATTTGCTTCCAAAAGGATCTCCCATGTCACGTGTTGGTCCCCCTCCTGTTTTGAAGGTTCGAGAAGCTTGTGGTCAGATCCTTGTTCGTGGTCTTGCGAAACACAAAATTTCAGCAGTCACTGAAGGTGTTACTTTGACAAGAACGGCAAATGACCGGCGCCACACATCCTCAAACAACCTCAACTCTGGATCAAGTCGATCGCACTTCATTTGCCAGCTACAAGTCGTCCCCTCAATAGGGGGTGGTGTACCGGCTTTGGCCAAGCTCGAAACGTCAGCATCTGGATACACGACAGACGAAGAAGCAGCCTCTATGCAAAAGAGGAAAGAGGCTACCATCTGGCTTGTTGATTTGGCGGGCAGTGAGCGAGCAAAACGGACAGGCTTGGGTAGCAGTCGGCAAAAGGAAGCATCTCAGATTAACAAAAGTCTTCTAACTTTGATGCGATGCTTGACTGCAATGAGGGAAAAAGGAAGCAAAAGCTCATCAAACGTAATTCCTTTTCGTGAGAGCAAGCTTACTCACCTTTTTATGCGGCATCTCACTGGTTCGTCTTCGCACCGTACATCAATGGTAGTGAATGTCAATCCATCAATCGCAGACTTTGATGAAACACAACATGTCCTAGCGTACGCCTCCAAGGCCAAGACAATCCAGCTCAAACCATCAGAGATGTATGACAAATATGATTCCTTCGGCGCTGAGTACGATTTGAACGGAAGAAAGAAGTCCAAGACCACCAATATTGGGAAGCATATTCTCTCTAAGGTTTTAGGCAAGCTATCACCAACGAATATTGCATCAAGACTCTCGCCAAGGAAATATACGCAACACAGCAAAAATGTTCTACAAAACCACTTTTTGACAGTTCAGTCTGATGAAAACTTGCAGGAAATCCTTGTAAAGAAGGGTGAAAAGATTACATCGTTGAAAGGAGCTCTGGATTCTGCTAATGCCGAGATCGAGAAGCTGCGAGTAGAAAACGCAGGCTTGATTGAGGATTTACAGGAACAAGAGCGGCATATACGAATAGAGGTATCCGAGGAAATTGAAGAAAGATTCAAAGCGACAAGGGCACGAAGCATACAGGAACTGGAGCGACTACAATCAAAGCTCGCGTCGGATCCGTCTCTATGTAGAAGTACACGGAAAGCACAGATGGACAAAACTGATGTACGAATTCATGAGCTCATGGATCAAGTGGGTGAGTGTGAAGAAGAAATGACCCGACTGAGAAAAGAGCATGCATCAGAGAAGATGCACTTGCAGTCTCGGATTCGCGTGCTGGAAGTCATGAAAAAAACGGTTCGCTTTGACGACCAGACGATGGATCGAATTTCAACGCTCGAGAAAGAACTGGAAAGTAGTAAGAAGCAAAATGAAAATTTGTACAAGAGCAAGGAAGAATTGATCAAAACCTATGAAAAGCTACTTCATGAAGAGGATGAAGAAAGAAGTATAGACAGCACAGACAGCAAGGGTGACGAAGAGGATTCTTCTAGTCTTGAAAATACAGCTCCTACATTCGGTTTGAGACATACCCCAAGGCGTCCGTTTCAAGCGATAAATCGCGCCAACACTCAAGAAAGAAACATGCAGCATTTGAAAACAGAAAAGGGCACATCATCAGGGCCGAATAGGCGGAATACCAGTCAGATGACGTGGTAAAAAGTGGGGGGGAAGTAGAACGAGTATTTTAGACACATGAGATCCTAGGGTCCTACTTGTAATGCACCAAACTTCTTAGATACACGCATCAACATTTTCCTTGGTACGGCGCCGTAGATACTATGGCACTGATTGCACGCAGTTTGTGGTAAACAAGGCTCATGGCTAGTAATAGGCGTGAAGACTCAATTGAACCCTTGTCCTTGGTGCGAAGTCAAAAAGGTAGCTCTTGAACAAGTCTCACTCGATTGGTCGAAAGTGGGTTTAGAAAATGAATACACATACTCTACCGCTACCAGTACAGATACCAGGTACGAGTACTGATTCTTACTCGTCCATCTAGGGCTAACTGACTGATGGCTCAGTCAAAGCAATTTGCGCAACGCAACGCAAAACTAGAAACAAAAGATTCGACTCGTTCGAACTTTACGAACTGTACGCATCGCAGTCGAAAGTTGTCGAAGTTGAGCGTATGACCCCCCTGGTACCGGTACATACAACCCATAATTCTTTCGACTTTCTTAATCCTGTCATGTTGATAAATGGCGATTCCATGGACGAGGTCAAAACCCTAGCTGCCCTCTTTACAGCAAAAAGTGACGAGAACTGTCAAGAACTCGAGCTCCAAAGTGTTGATCTGGATTATGAGCTGACAAGCTTGCTCATTCAAGTTATTGAATCGAGGAAGTGGCAATCCGTAAGGTTATCTCTCTGCCAGGGTCTAGTAAATGATGTGGTGACAGCATGTATGGCGCATCAAGTACAGTCAGTTTTCCTTCAGGTGCCTATCAATATCAATATGATGAATGCGCTTGCTTACGGCCTTAACTACTCGAAGTCACTCGTGACGCTCCAGCTATCTGGCAGTCTTTCGGGTATCGAGACGTCAGATTTTGCAAAGGCTATTGCGCGAAATGTGTGCTTGGAAGAGTTGGATCTATCAGATTGTACAATCGATACGCAGTGCTTAGGAATCCTGGGGTTTGCTCTCCGCATCAATCGCACCATAAGGAGTGTTGTTCTCAACGGTTGCTACCTCGAGGACGAGAATTTGGCACATCTGCTGTCGGCATTGCAGGACAGCCCAGCACTAAAATCCCTCTCTGTGCAAAGAAATTATTGCCAAGAACAATCAATGTCCATGAGTGAGTCAAACCCAGAAGATGTCTTTTCAGTGCAATGAACCGAAGTTGTCTTACTGTGTCCTTCTTAACTTCCCTGTTCTCGAAGTTTCCTCATTGTAAGTCCCAGCAACGTGATACACCCAGCAGTACTCACCTATTCAACTCGCACTCATGATCTTGTCTTCGGTCAGACTACACTATGATGATATCGAGGAACTAAACATGAGCTACCTGCTTCGGAAAAAGAAAGACGCCCAACCCGAAGTCGTCCAGGAATCTTTGATCGAATCCGAACCAGAGATCGAGACTCCAGAAGAGGTACCTTCAAATGAATCCGAAGAAGCAAATAAGCACAACGACGATAAAGCTATGTTAGCTCCTTCTCCTGGTGAATCCGAGAAGGAAAGTGACACCAAAGAAGAGAAAACCGACTCAGAGCCAGAAGAGGCGTCTGAACCTGAACCAGAATCTGAGAATCACGCTCAGAATACATCTCTAAAGAACTTGCAGCTTGCGGCAAATGGATTGACTGATGGATTTATTGAAAGCACTCTGAAACTCTTTGGAAAGGACAGCGTATTAGAGGAATTAAACTTGTTTGGTAACAGAATGACTGATCTGTCAATGCATCGGATAATTGAAAGATTACCTGATCTGAAGCAGTTGAAATCCCTGTGGATAGGGCACAATAACTTCACTATTACAGGCTACAGCGCCCTGCTTCTGGCGATGCAAAATAATTTTGTTTTGGAAGAAGTTAGTATCGTCACACTAAACACCGATGCTCAAGTTGAAGGAATACAAAAGAAGATTGATCACTACACTCGTTTGAATCGTGGAGGTCGCAAAATATTCGCCTCAGATGTTACCGAGTTACCGAAGTCAATCTGGCCTCTTATCTTGGAGCGAAGCAACAGAATAAAATGGGATGACGGAGATGACGTCGAGTCGAAAGTTGTTTCATATTCCGCTGATGCGATTTTTTGCCTACTCCAAGGGCCTGCATTGCTTGATGCTTCATGAGATTTCAATACTAGATATGCACGAATCCTAAATAACACGAGCTACAGTCTGTTGAGCAAAGCTGCAATTCTCTACGAAAACCTACTTCCAGAAGAACTACTGTATAGTATTGGTGTCCCGTCTAGGACTCCTCCACAAGTCGATGTGTCTGGAATGTCTTTCGAATAACTGTACGTAGATCCTTGACCCCGTGAAGCGTCCGCAAGAAACGTTCTAACTTTCGTAGCTCTGAGTCTTTTGGGTCATCGAACCAAGACTCAATTGGAATTCCATTGTCTACCTGGTAGCCAAACGCATGGGGAGAGTTGTCCACCAAGACACAGGTTGCCAAGTCTCTACCCAGAACATTCAAGTCCTTTAAAAAGTTGCCCTCTACGGCGAGGCAAGACTCTCTGTACATTCTGTGTTGAATGTATTTGCCCTCTACAAAGAGAAGGAAAAGTTTGAGATCGGGTTTTTGGTGAATGTTTCACAAACCGAGCTGGCAACTTGAACGACGTACCTGGATCAATTAGGTTGAGTAATTCATTAGCATAAACCTTTTGGCTTGCGGTAAAAACTATGACTTCGTATTTGTCTTTAATTTTCTCCAAAAACTCAAACAAATAGGGTCTCAATCGCACATGAACTTGATAAGTCATGCCATGAAAGTCAACAGGGAATACAAGGTCGGCATCCTCCACAGGTTCTACAGTACAGTGAACAAGAGTCTCATCCAGATCAAGCACGAGACTGATGGGTGGCGCATTCTTTGCCTTGGGGGGTAGCGCAACTGGTGGGCGTAGCGGTGCAACCAAGTCATACGGTGGAAGAGACTTGATAAAAACGTAAGGATTGAATTCATCGTCTTCAGATTCCTGAGAAGATCCGTCGTCTTCCACCAACTGTTCATCCTCTGATTCAACATCATTATCGTTCTGTCTCACCCCTGGTTCCTGCTCTTCAGGGTTCTCGGTTTCTTCTTCTGCTGGCACATCTTCCTTTGGTGCTGGAGCGTCTTCCGGTGTTTCCCCTTCTTCCCCTTCTTTTCCGAGAAAACTCAGCAAAGGACTGAACAATGCATCCGTTTTCCGGCTGACAGAGTCGGTATTGTCTTCGTCCCCTCCTTCCTCGTGAACGACTAATGGACGGGGAGGGTGCATAGGACTCATTTGATTTCTATCCAATGTCTCCTTCTTGGTGATAGGTGTCTTGGTAGGATCCTCTGCGGTTCCATCCATCGGAATTAATGGAGTAGTGGGGAGACCGGGCTTCTGCCCTCCAGGACTCATCATACTCTTATCCATGCTGCGCGGCCTTTTTGCTGAGGCAATCGGAGTGTGAGGCTCCGCATAGTTGCTTCGCGGTGTCCGAGCAGGGGGGGTGGTTGACGTTGGCATAGTTGTCTTCCCCTTTTGCAATCAAAATCTACAAGTTTTATCGATAAAATAAGTTTATTGCACCGTTCTGATGTCAATTCGGTCTTGATTACAGGAAATCAGCTCCCAACAAGCTTCTAAATGTGTAACTTTCAAAACTGATTCTTTTGGCATCATTGTTTCAAGCAATCGATCCGGCAGAGCAAGAGTTTGCAAAAATGTCCCTTCTCTCACACGCCAGCCGCTCAAAAAGTCTTTGTCACCCGGATTTGTGGACGCACGGATAATTGATCGGCAAGACGGGAGACGTATGGGCGTTTCTAGCTCTTCCTTAGTCTCAATTTCCGTCGTGTCGATTACGGCGCGTCGCTTCATTGAAGTACACGGTTGGCGGACGGAGCGAAGAGTGTCGACGAAGAGGACCGAAGATTTGGAGAAGACATTGTTCGCAATGGGAGCTTGTGGGATGATGGAGGCGATAGAAGGAGTTTAGCTGCTCGGTCAAGACTGTCAGCTTTTTTGCTTTTTCCCGCCCTCACCAACCTCTCTCTCATTTGCACCATAGCTCGGTACCAGGTACCATTTGGTTCGGGTATCCTATTGATTGTCCTTTTCGAATCCTATGATTCGACCTCGGTGCAAACCAGTCACTAACTTAGTACCTCGCTACTGTGCCAAACCTACTCGCTTCCCGTATGTAGCATCAGGCTTTGCCACAGTTTCCATGGTAGCATACAGTACGTGCGCGATTTCTCCAGACAAAGACTACTGTACATCATGCGATTCAAGCCCAGGAGTGGAGGCGGCGCCGGGTAATCTTCGATTATTGATCGGCAAGACGGGAGACGTATGGGCGTTTCTAGCTCTTCCTTAGTCTCAATTTCCGTCGTGTCAATTACGGCGCGTCGCTTCATTGAAGTACACGGTTGGCGGACGGAGCGAAGAGTGTCGACGAAGAGGACGGAAGATTTGGAGAAGACACTGTTCGCAATGGGAGCTTGTGGGATGATGGAGACGATAGAAGGAGTTTAGCTGCTCAGTCAAGACCGTCAGCTTTTTTGCTTTTTCCCGCCCTCACCACCCTCTCTCTCATTTGCACCATAGCTCGGTACCCCATTTGGTCCGGGTTTGTCTGTCAATCCTATTGATTGTCCTTTTCGAATCCTATGATTCGACCTTGGTGCAAACCAGTCACTGCACTAACTTAGTACCTCGCTACTGTGCCAAACCTACTCGCTTCTCGTATGTAGCATTCTATCCTTGGTAGCATCAGGCTCTTGCCACAGTTTCCATGGTAGCATACGTGCGCGATCTCTCCAGACAAAGACTACATCATGCGATTCAAGCCCAGGAGTGGAGGCGGCGCCGGGTAATCTTCGATTAAAAGGAAATTCAGAGTACTCGAACCGGTACGAGTAGCTGGTACTCGAACCTGGTACGAGTGCATGCATCATCTCTTTTTTTAAATTAATGTATTATGTATTATAAAATATAGTAGCTTTTTCCATCTCCTCCCGACTTGATCATTGGATCGTCTCATAGCAATAGTAATGGACAGGTGCACTGTCCAAATACAAAAGGGAACTACTGTATCATTCAGTACCCGGATTTGGCGACGTCCGTCCATATCCCGTTGCGCACATCGAATGAATGATCTGATGCCGGAGCGATTTACGATGAGGATTCTTCAACGAACTGATCTGTCCACATCGGACTGTTTAGCCTTACTAATTGAGAAGCAAGAAGTGTTACATATAGCTCATTGTAGCATCATCCAACTGTTATTCTAAACTGTGACGAAGCATGTCAAAGGCTAATGATGATAAACAGCAGGCTGCAAATCCTCAGCGAATGAGCAGCCAAATGCAAGCTGTTGTTCGACTTCTTGCTGGGCAAGAAGAACGAACGATTGCTCAAAAGCTGGCAGACAGCAACCGCCCAACATGGGAACAATACAAGAAAGATAATCATGAACATCTAAACCTTGATGGGCTTGACCAGAAGGAGATGGAAGATTATCGCCAAAAGCTCGACTCCGAACGGGAGAAAAAATTGTCTCGAGGTCGAAACCATTCCGCAAAAAAAAGTCAGAGAGACGACGATAGCTCCGACGGTGATATAGATGACAATCATTCTCGCCATCGTCACAGAAAGAAGAAGAAGAAGAGAAAGCGTAGACGCAGACATCGTGATGATAGTTCGTTTTCTTCGGACAGTAAGGATGAGAGCAGTGAGGGGAGACGCCGAAAGCAAAGACGCAAGCACAAGAAACGTACGAGGTCCAAAAAGAAAGCATCGCGAAAAAAGGATGCAGACAGTGATGAAAGTGATGGAAGCCATTACAGACTCTCCAAATTCTTTGATCAGGGAGGATCCGATAACGAACGGAAATGAGGCCGCTTCCTGTATCCAGTAGTCTTAGCTTTACGGCTCTTCAACACCAATATCGTACCGTGTGTTGCAACAATCTACTTATTGGACGGCACTTGACATGGGTGCCATGAATGATATCTGCATGCCCCAAATAATTGTTTGATTGTTGGAAATTGAAAGGACTAAGTTAGTATATATCGTACTGATGGACAGACACGATGGCTGCAACCAGTCACCAGAAACAGTTGCTTGACACAAATCTAATCATGGACATCCCAGACGAACACATAGACAAGCAGGAAGAAGGCAATGCTTCGGCGGAACCTCAACCAACCTTGTCAAAATCATGGGAGATCGCAGCAGCTCATGTTCCAACATTTACCGGAGGGAAAATCAGCCACTGCTGTAAGGCTTCTCTGAAGCCCTTCATTCTAATGCCTGTTTATGGTGATTTGTTTGTTGTCGATGCAGATCGTGGAGTGAAGTTGGGAACATTGCGAGGGGAAGATGCAATCGATGATGAGGACGAGGGAGATGGAGTTGATATGGACGCAATAACTTGCCATGTGCTTGACAACAGGGATCAAATGATAATTACTTGTACTCGAAATAATATTCTTCACCAGCATTCAATTGCCGAATCAGATCTATCTACCAAACTAGTGAAGACGTGGGGCCGTAGTGGTCATTCGCTTCCAGTAACGCATATGGAGCTGCATGCGTCCAATGTATTTTTGGTCACTGGATCTGTCGACGGAACAGCAAGAGTCTGGGATGTTCGTGGTGGCTTTGTGACTCATGTTTTTCGTCCACTCGAGGGCGGAGACGGTGGTGGTAGTGGTCGACTTAGTGTGACGGCACTGCAGTGGCACCAAGAATTGGGTCAGCTGGTTTTGGCCATCGGGCGAGATGATGGTAGTGTGACAATTCATAATTTGAACGACACTAAGAACGAATACATTGTTGTCCTACGTGATCACGTCAGCTCGGTTACATGCATGGCTTGGTGTGGAAAAGATTTTTTTCTATCATCAGGGCGAGATGCTATCCTGAATCTGTGGAGGGTGGTCCCTGTGGAAAAGGGCCGAGAGGAAAACATGATCGTACACTATAGAAGAATACAGTCGATGCCATTGTTCGAACAAATCGAAGGACTTCAACTACTTCCATCCGAGCGGTTGAATGAAATTAGAGTTGCAACTGCTGGGAGCAAGGGTCTTGTCAAGCTATGGAAAGCAAATATTGTCCAGGGGCAGACACCCCAACTGACTCCTGCTGCAGAACAACCCTTGGCACAGGCGTTTGGAGAAAGTCGAGGTGGATACTTGGGGCTGTTCTTGAACCACGTTGCTGTCGGCGAGAAGAAAACAGAGGACTGCCTAATAGCAGCTGACGCGGAGCATAACCTCTCTTTCCTATCATCAAAATTATCTCTGAGTCGGACTATTGTGGGTCACAATGATGAGATTCTTGACGTTAAGCTTATACCTCATTGCAACGCGATTATTGTTGCGACAAACAGCCCAAAGATTCGAATCTTTGATTTGGAAACATTTTCCTGCAGTGTCTTGCATGGGCATACCGCCACAGTTCTATGCGTTGAAGTGAGCCCATGCGGTCGATTTGGTGCCAGCTGTGGCAAGGACAAAACAATGAGGGTTTGGCACCTGGAAACCGAACGATGTGTTGCAATCGCAACGGGGCACACTGAACCGATCGGAGCTGTAGGTTTCTCCCGAAAAATAAGTCGATATGAAGTTGGCGGCAAAGCTGCTTTCAATGGCGGTGGCGCTTTTGGAATCACAGCAAGTCTTGATCGAACGTTGAAGCGCTGGAACTTTCCAGGCGCCGACGACTTGCTGAAAGAGCCTGACCAAATGGATATCCCAGCCGCTGCAAGTGTACGAGGTCACGACAAGGATATCAACATTATATCGGTATCACCGAACGATTCACTAGTAGCCTCAGGTTCGCAAGACAAGACAGTGCGGATATGGAATGCAGCAGACCTCTCACTTAAAGCAACACTGAAAGGGCACAAGAGGGGGGTATGGGACTGCCAATTTTCACCGATTGACAAGGTTTTGGCAACCTCAAGTGGTGATAAAACGATCAAATTGTGGTCATTGGGAAGCTTCTCTTGTGTGCGTACTTTTCAAGGTCATTTATCAAGTGTACTTAGGATTCGGTTCTTGCGATCAGGGCTGCAGCTCGTGTCTGCGGGTGCAGATGGACTGGTGAAGCTTTGGACAATACGGACGAATGAATGCGAGACAACGATGGATGGGCATACAAACAAAGTTTGGGCTTTGGATGCAAGCTCGGACGGGAAACTTATTGTTAGCGGTGGTGCAGACTCAAAGCTTGTGGTTTGGAGAGACAACACTAGACAGATCGAAGACAGCCAGAGAAAAGAGGAAGCAGAGAAGATCCACTTAAATCAAATGCTAGAGAATCACTTGTATCATCAAGAATTCGACGAAGCACTTGTGCTTGCACTCAGAATTGATAAACCAATGGCTGTCTTAAAGATTATTTCCAGCATGATCGACAGTGGTTATGACGAGAAAGGGAAATGGGATGGACTTCAGTCTTTGCAGAAGCACGTCAAGGCGTGGAGCATGGAAAGGGTTGCGAAGATTCTCAAGTATTGTCGAGATTGGAACACCCGGGCTCGTCATGTTCCAGTTGTCATGACTCTAGTCAAGGCCATTGTTACGACGGTTCCCGTGGATCAGCTATCTTCGATCGACGCAATTCCTGAAACATTAGCAGGAATCACCCCATATGCCGAAAGGCATTTTCATCGTTTGGACCAGTTATATACGAATTCCTATATGTTGGATTTCATTTTGATTGGTGCAGGGGTTGTCGCTGATGCTGAAGGGAAAACAGGAGAAGATGAACTTGTCGCATGGGAAGCATCAAGCAAACCAGTCCTTCCACCAACTTCCGTCGATGGCAGAATACAAGTCGGAGGAATGGATTATGTTGGAAAGAAAAATGCGAACGCAACTGCTGAGCTGTCTGAAAGTGACAACGAGAGTATTCAAAGTAGCGGTGAAAGCAGTATAGAGTCGTATTCATTGTAGTCTTATGCTGCATCTTTTGCTTAAATTAATTATCTACTAAAAGAGAATACATCGTTGAAGTCAGTTTTAAGTAGGTTGTCCTGGTAAAATGGATGTGTGGCGCACCGTGGCATACCGGTATTATTACCAAACTGTATGTAATGGTACTGCTGAATCGTACCAATACCAGGTCCTATACTGACTGTACCTTTACAATGAAACAGTGGGATTTTCCCCAAAGTCCCTCCCCTGGTAGATAGTTGTCAGTACTTCCTGACGTACTAGCAGATATGACTAAATCCTAATGCAATGCAAATGTAGATGAATGAGAAATAGTGAGCTAGATAGAATAGATCTATGGGAAGTATGGTGTCTGTATGTTGTACGATGAACCAGGATAGACCTCGCACAACACTCTCCCCTGATGACAGCAGTCATCATCACAAAGTGCAAGAGGTGTACAAATCTAGGACTGTCCCATCATTTGTCTTGCATAGTATCTTGAATGTAGTACTACTCTCTCTCCCCTGATCAAGAGACTGGAGTTTTGGCTGGAAGGAGATGGGAGTACCTTGTATCCGAGTGCGTCTTGTCAAACTGGCTGAAATATTCAGTTCTTGTAGGTAAATCTGGATCGACAACAAATGGAGGAGGTGGTTCTGCTGGAGGTTGGTTGAGCACTCGGTGCCCTGTACGTTGTCCCTTTGTAGGTTCAATGTAGATAGCTTCAATACTTCGCGGTTCCATCGAATTGTTGGAATCCGTCCCAATTGCATGTACATACTGTCCAAGCTCAGC